ACTGTGTGGCTACAATATTTGTTTTTTAGATTTTTGTGAAATACATTCTAGACTTTAGGTCTGCAGACGCATACCTACAATAATAATCATAAAATACTGGTATTTGTATAAAAGTTACTCATTATATTAAGTCAATATGGATTTCTCTTCTAGTGAAAGTACATTAATACCGAGTAATTAATGTTTTAAAATTTCCTAACATTTGTGCCAAGTTTCGCATACAATAACAATTTGTTTTTTTTTTTTTTTTTAATACGTAGTTAATTTTATCCGTTATAATATTGTATACCTTCTAAACGCAGAACAGTTTTAAAATGAGAATAACGCAATGAAACATATATTATATTATAATTATATATGTATGTATTTTTATTAAAACCAAACATATAAAAAATAAAAACAATTTAGTCTCATCATCATAATATTTACTATCACTGAAAATATTCGGGTTTCTGGATAATGTCTTTCTCTATAATTGATTTTAAATACATGCAGAAGATATACACTATACAGTATATAATATTTAAAAATTATTATGTTTATTTATACGTTTCGTGAACTCCTGACAGTTCTATTAATAATATATTACATTTAAATAAAGTAAATTTCCATAAATATCTGAATGGGGGCATTAGGGGGTATTTACATAATATGCCCCTGAATTTTGGAAATTCATTAAATACATTCAACATTGGAACTATATTGTATAGAAAAAAAATCTTTACTAGAGAGCTGAGAATTTAATGCTCCATAAACCTTAAACATTTAAAATAATAAAATGCACTAAAAAATAAAGAAAAAAAATGATTTATTTTCAAAAAATATAAAAAAAAAATAAAGTTTCTTATTCTTATTCAAACGTATACGAAAATTTTTTTATTAAAACGAGCTTTCGTCATCTGTGTCTTGACATTACTATTGCCTGACAATACAATACCATTAGGTATTTAATAGTTTATTATATAAAAAAAATCGTGCAATTCATATTAGAACTTTAGATCAAAAAAGCTTAAAATGCTCTAAAAAAAAATGATTTCAAGTATCAGAAATTGTCATGAAATGCAAAATTTCTCATTCTCATTTAGAAATACACGAAACGAATTTGTAACAAAACGTCAGCAAGCTTATGGAAAAATAACGCAAAGCGCATTAAAATCTCATCCTTAGTAATCAGACAAATATCTGTGGAATTCTCGCTCCTAGACGAATTTCTGTATTTTTCCATCCAGCTTTACAGACAGCACTGCAGTCCGAAACGCTTGACGGTCACCCATCCAATCTATTTACTTAGGTACTTATATAGCGTTTAACGCGGGGATTATCTCGTCAATAACGGTCTAAACAAGTTAATCGCCTGCCGCCTTATCCACTGCAGGCCGTCGTCGGCAAACGATTCTATATACAATCGAGTTTTATATTTGATTTTTACACGCGTTTTTTCTTCCTTCTTTAGTGTCATTTCATATTTCAGATTCTGAACGAAACGAGGAATATATTGGTTTTATTAGGATGCGTGTTTTTTTGTTTGTTTGTGTGTCCGTGAATAACTTTTCTACCAGAAAACTTGTTCCAATCGAAAACATTATAGGGATTTGCTTGTAGAATTTTCGGTCTAGTCGGTGCTTTGAGAATGCTATTTTTCGACGTCCCTTGTAGTTTTCCCAATAAACGGGGAAGTCTAGCGTTTTCTCGTATAATTTTCGTCGATTTCTGTGTTATCTCAGCGACCACGGGAAAAATACAACTATAACACGTTTAACCGAGCTTTACTCAGAATCGTTTCTTATTAGCGACGGTTTATCATCGCGTGTAGATATCGATTTATATTATCCTGAATTTCGACTTCCCTCCTAAAACAGTGGCACACCCGTCGGTGTAATATCGCTCTTTTTTTTTTCTCTTCTAATTTATTTTTTCGTGTAAAATCCTTAATAATAATAATAATAATAATCATCGAATACCACGCTATTTTAATTTTATCGTACGCGTATATTAATAATATTACTATTAATAACATCGATAATTGACAACGGATATTACATTAATTATTGTATTCCGATAAAACACTCGATATACGACCAATTATATTGCCGTTAATTGTTTGGGTGCGCGCTGTCGAAATTTACAGCCATTGCCCGTCGCCAGATAGCCCGATATATATATTTTTTTATCGGCACGTTAAAACGCGAAACGACGATGCTATACATCATAACGCGCGAGAATGATAATTAACAATATATTATTTACAAACGCCGTCGTCATAGTTTATATAGATACTCGTAATTAAACGTATATAATATTAAGTGTATACAAACACGCACGTCAGTGCGATAATTGGTACTCGATATATTATTATAATATACGCGTGTCGTAACGAAGGAAAACAAGTCGAGAAGGAGGTCGGATGCGTACGAGGCAATGGAATTTATATCTGTACACAGTGGCGTGCTGAGCATTTTTTATATTCGAGGCGAACCGTAGAATTTAGGGACCACCCACCCGAAACGTGGATTTGTATATTATGTCCTATTATAATTTTTTTTTTTTATTTTTAAAGCAAAAATCGTATTTAGTTACCTACATGGGCTATCGTATTCACATACGCAATATCGTAGTAGTATTACTATATGCATTTTTAGTATTTTCAATATTTGTTTCTAAATTTATTAATTTGGAAAATAAATACCGCGGCTAAAATATTGTTTACGCTTAGAAAATTATGGTTTAACTTGTATATTTGTATACACATTAAAGCTTTTTTTGTTGAAACAAGTCAGATGTCTGCTATAAAATTTACCGCTTTATAATTATAAATACTAATATCTATTTCCACAACCACCGACATCAAGTCCTCGAGCCTCTCGAGTCCGTTATCGATAGTGTAACAAAACGGAATACACCGGATACGGAAATAATATGTAACGCAAAACTAAGAGATTCTGTGATATCTGAACTATCAACGTTCAATATATTCGATTCATTCGTCCATCCGCCTTTTTTAGTCATGAGACAATCGCCCGAAAATATCTACTTCATCACGCCACTGTCTAAACAAATCGTTGCAAACGATAACGATTCCAAACCGTTATTGTGTAAATATTCCGACGGTTTTTCCGCCCTATGATTAAGAAAACTAATTACATCCAAAATCGAAAAAAATAACTTATCCGATGTGCGCCGACTAGGACAAATTTGCTATACCATTAATCATTACTACTGGAAATGACGATCAGGACAAGGAAATATTTAAAACTTTTCAACAGATCGAAAAAAAAGAAAAATCTCAGAATCAATATTGTGTCCATGGGGTATACGATTGTCGAAAAAAAAAACGCATCAATCGCCTTGGTTTTTTTCCGTTTAGTTTTTCTGTCATCTTATTTATACTGCAGCCATATGTTTTTTTAGTACACCCGTCCGACTTAGTCGCGATAAGAGATGCTCCTCGGTGGTAAGACGAACTATTAAACTTTTATTTTTATTATTATCGTGCGTTGTGTTTTTCATTAGGTATGCATTTCTGAATGGCCGATAAAGTGAATTATTGTTTGTTATTATTTATTATTAATTAATAATAAGTAAACTAAAATAACAATTTAATAGAACGCCGACGCAATATTTTCACACGGGAGAAATAACGCCGATGGCCAATGTAAACAATCTCAGGGCTATTGATAATAACGTTTATTTATTAATTTATCGGACCTATGTGAATTCCGAGCAAATGTGTTTTCGTCTAGTTACAGACTTCGAGTCATATTAGAATAGTATACACTCGGTTTTTGAACATTTTTTTTTTCTAATAAAAATTTTAAAAACTGTTTTGATTGAAAATTATACGCGATTTGTCTTGTTCTCACCTGATATAATTTTTACGGCGCTTTTATTAAAAAATAATTTCAAGCGAACTATCTTTTTTCTCGGGGATTTTATATGCGTAATTTTTTTAACGCATTCACACACTAAAAAAAAAATATCCGTATTAAGTATACATAAGATGATTCATTAAGCATGAACATTTCTATGATAACATTTTGCACGTATTAAAATTCTGATTTTGAATTTTTAAGTGTAATTAAAGCTAATATTTTCAAATACTTAGATTTTCCATAGCATTTAAGGATTATCCTGTGACGATTCCAATTAAATTTTTTGAAATGAGAACATAAATTAAAAATTCCCTAAAAATATTAGAGTATTAGTTTAAATATACATTTTGGTATAGATATTTTTGATTTCCGTTGACCTGTTGACGAGATATTCTTTTTTATCTTTGTGTAAGAATAAGAGAACAGTGAAGTATTATTAAAACGCTATATAAATGACGCTTTTTAGACTGTTATCCTTAGTATTTTTAAGAAGAACAACTCGGAAATTTTTTGTTCAACGTGCGGGTTCTCGTAGGAAAACCCGACTTCGGTATCGCCCCTGCTGCTGGATGCTCCTGGAAAATCCGAGTATTCGAGAATCTCGCGGCCGTACAACTACTTTTCACTCGCGAAAATTCCGAAAATCGCAATTTTGAACGTAACAATTAGGTGTATATAATCACGCACGATATTTAACGATCATAAAAACGGGCCGAGCACGCTCGAGACCAGAATCGTCCCGCATATATTATTGTTGTTATATAGGTAGCGGTTATATACTTACGCATAATAATAATAATAATAATAATAATATTATTATATTATTATTGTAATTTGCCCGGTGATTCCGCGGTAGCGCGCAAACGTTTCCCGCGCCGCAAAGGGTTGATTTGCCCCGAGCGGGGGGAGGGGGGACGCGCGTATAATATTATTATTTTAATATTATATCACCACCGACGGGTAGTAAAAAAAAAAATGAGGCATGGCCCGGCGGCGCGTATCCGGTTCGGGCACGGTCGTCGGCGGTCGTGAGCCGGTTGGCCCGGCGCGGCGGCGGCGGTGGCGGCGGCTGGCAGCGTCAGCGGCGGCGGCGGCGGCGGCGGCCCTCCTGTACACACGACTACACACACACGCACTCGCGACCGTCAGTCGAAGGTTCGTTGCTCGGTCGGCTGTTTCGTCGTTCTGTCCGCGCAATCTTATCTGGTTCAGGTGTCGTGTACAATACAATTTTTAATATCGTTGTTTCGTGCGTTGAAAGTTTATAATATTTTATCACACGGGCACACAGACGTCTCACGTTCGTTCCGCACACGCGTATATTATTATTATTATTGTACACGCGCGCATAAACACACACATACACACACGTATATTTATTATTATTATTTTTTTTTTTTCCATTAAAATATACACGCACACACGTGCGTCGCGCCGGCATTATAATATCACCGCAACGCCGTTCCGACGCGTACTTATTACAATACATTATTAATATTACCATGATAATAATATTGTAATCTCGCTTTCATTTGGGTTCCGTGTCGTTATCACACGCCCGAGCGAAAACCCCGGTATTAATTAATAAGTGTTCGCGTGTTTGTGCGCGCGCGCGCGCGCGCCCAAGAAACGGACCGTTTATCGTTTTTTTTTTTTTTTTGAAAAAAAAAAAAATAAAAAAACCGACGTCCGTGTGTTTTTATTTTTTTTTTTCGTTTTTCGTTCGTTTTTGTGCGTTTTTAACGAATTTCGAAAAAATCGCGTTTCGATCGTGGTTTTTTTTAAAAAATAAAATTTTAGTTTTTCGTACGTTTTCGTTTTTTTGTTTTAATCTATAAGTACAGCGTGAACTTTCGATTTTAATTTTTTATCGTTTTTCCCGCGAACACGTCGAAATCGGTGGATTATTTCGCTACACAAGAGTACTCCGGGCGAAATCGCGTAGTTTTATCTCGTACGAAAAATACACGCACACACACACACACACGCACGCACATAAAATATTCGCGGTTCCGTTATTGGTAAAAAAAAAAATAAAAAAGTGCCACGGAGTGCGTATACATATAATGGTGCTCGCGTTTGACGTCGGCAACGGCGTGACCGCGTCCGAAACGATGTTAGCAGCACACGTCGTTACGATCACGGGATCCAATTCCTGAGCGCCGACAAAATAGGACACCGCGCGGGCGACGCGCGTACGCGTAAAAGTCGAGACTGCGGCCACGACGGTTTCCGCACGCCCGGCGACGATGGTCGAGCGAATCGCAAACGAAACGGATTGTAACATGCCACAAGGCTCCTGTTGGTCTACGGCGTTTTCCGGCTATTATTTGTTTCTCGCCAGGCATTCAGGTAACGCGATAACGCGCCGATAATACGTTACAATTGATTAGTTGTTCCTTTTTTTTTTTTTTTGTTTTTTTGTTTCTCTCCCGCTGATAAGCGCGCCGTCGTATTATCATCACGGTAACGCACGGCCTAGGGACCCGGGCTATTGTAACTCTCGATAAAATAACATTACAATGATATTCGGAAACGAGTGTGGGAGATAAGCGAGGAGAGCGCGCGCGCGCGCTAGCGCCCGACCGGCCGACCGTATGCGTGCGTATAATAATTTACGTGTGCGACCCGACGTGTGGATTTTCCCGTTCCGCGTAAACTTTTACCGAGCCCCCGTACGACGTTATATCGATCTCGACAAATTTTTCCTTTTTTTTTTTTTTTTTTTCTTCGTCGTAAGAAATATGTTCGTAACAATATTATCGTCTCGTTTTATTGCCCTCCCACCCCCCCCACACCAAACCCCCGCCGTCCGACCGTCCGTACATACACCGTTCGCGACCGCGACACGAACACCCCCCCCGTACAGTAATTATAACGTTTCGCGTCGAGTATAGGTTTTATAACGTTATAAATTATTTTCGAGTGCATATTATGCTGCGACGTTGAACGCCAAGTACCCAACTATAACTACGGTGTTATTATTACGAAAATGATAACGACCGCGTATCGGGCATTGTTGTGTACACAAATCGCGGTTCTATCGTCGTACATTTTTCACGTCCCGCGGTAAAGTATAATTGAATGGGGAATTTGTCGAAACGGACGCGTGCAAATATAACGTCTATTTGCGTATCGAGATCGTAACGTGACGCGCGGGGTACTTGTACGTTTTCAACACGTGATGACGAATGTTACGAAATATAATATTGCGTACGCGCAGACACGAGAGATGATGATGATGATGATGATGATGATGTACGGATGTAATGGCATTTTCAGAACATCGCGAAAAGCCAGTAGCGAAACGGCGCTTTTGCCGGCGGCGTATTTTACGGGTGGTGGGATGCGTGGGGGGGGGAGGAAAGCAGCGGGTACGGGCGGATCGCCTTTACCCCACGGCATTTTTCGACGGCGACGTTTCAGTTTCCAGCGCGGCCAGTTGGCCGGCCTACGCGGGCAACCGCGAAACACGAACATTTATACCCGGCGGCGTATTACGACTTTTGAATCGCTGCCGCGCCACCCCGGTCGAACGCAAGTTACGCCACCGGCGTTTACGTGTCGTGAATGAAAACTGATCACGCGTACCTGCCAAAACCGTAAATCTCGATGAAATATTTACAGGAAACCCGTCCGGTCTCGCACTCCGAACGAATAGCCGTTCGACTTTCGTTTCGGTGCGTTCCGCGCACGTTTCGGAACACGCGTCTTTTACGCGCTCGCGCTTTTTTTATTTGCCCCCCCCCCCCGGTCGGATATTGTTTCGCAGGATATAACCGTTTACGGATACGTTATCATATTGTATTTCGCCATTATTCGCTTTATTACAGTTGTACGTTGTCGGTGATATTCCGCGCGATAATATTAATACACCGCGGCCCGCCGCGGGGCCCCGGCCGCGCGCGGTCGTTTAATAATATCCAAATCTGCATGTTATTATATGTTATTCCATAGTCGCCGCGCGATTATGCGCACAGGGATTATTGCACAAATATAATAATAAAAATAATGAAAAAAAAAAAAAAATAAAAATATTATACGCGTACGTATCGGTGCATTATAATGGGGCGACGCTGTGTGCGCCAAAGGGGCAAAACAATGACGTCGACCGAAAATAATAAACGAACCGCCGAAATCGAATACGAACCGGTGAGAGAGTGTACAATAATAATAATAACAGCGAACGGGGCTAATTTGACCGGAAATTTTTGCACACCGAGACGGGGTTGGGCGGTTTTTTTATTATTATTATTTGTATTTAGAAGGGCCTAAAACAATAGTCGCGTACGATGTATACGATAATATTCTGACGTTTAAAAAAAATTTTTGTTTTTTTGGCACACACGATTCACTGCGGGCCTGTTTCCGCATTGCTAGACGATTTTTTTTTTTTTTTGATTTTTTATTCTAACATGTATACAATATTTTCTCATCGGAGAAAGTATAATATACAACCGGCTATAACGGACTAATGATAAATGTACACACCATATACACTGCTACTACTGCACTATATTATAATATTCGTTTTACTCGCCTTCGCGCAATATATTATAATAACGGAATATAATTATTAGATCTACGAAACCGACACATGGTTATCATTATTATATTATCCGAACGTGTACGTGAAATAATTATCATGCTCTCACGTACAATTCACACGATATATTTCGCGCGTATCGATAAAATCCGACCGAATTGTGAATATTGCAGTAGTACCGGCGTGTAAATGTTCCTCCGCCGCGTATCATCATGTCCGAAATGCACGAGATTTTGTTTTTTTCGGGATTCGTTTAACCGTTTTGTTTTTAGAACGTTGTAGGTGTGCAATATAACAATATACTATTTTTCTATGTGTATGTACCTACCTACGTCATATATTATACCGAGGTTATTATAATACAAAAAAAAAATAAAAAAAATATCGTCAAGATCCGTTGTTATAATATAGACGTCGTACATTCGTATACATGATGTGTACGTGTATAATACGTATCGGATGTTTGCTAACATTGTTATATAGGAAAACCGTATTTAATTTGATGTGTCATATTATTTTTTTTTTATTTTTTTTTCCCATATTGTGTCTTACGTGTCGCGCGTACACCGTATTATTGTGTACATGAAATTCGAAGTACTAACGCGTATACCTATTACGGTGTACGACGAAATTCTCGGAATTCGATTTTTTCTTTTATGCATTTTTACTTTTTAGAAAGTTTTCGATTGAACACGTCTCGCGCGTTGTAACGGCAAATATTTAGACAAAAAAAAAAAAAAAAAAATTTGCGGGAACTATCGCGGATTGATTTTATGAAGAAAAACAAAAAAAAACCTCTATAATAAAGCGCCTTTATAGTCGCAGTCGTGCGAAAAATTATCCAGTATTGAAAAAAAAAAAAAATAACCGCGTTTAACTTTCATAAATGCGTGCGAAAAAAATAATGTCCGGACGGTGGTACCGCGTGTGCGTGTTATACCGTGCAGTTCGGGGACCGCTCAACGCGTAATTCCCGAGATTGAAACCCAAACGATCGAAACAGTTTTAATCGACATTGAAAATTCCGCACGCAAATCGATGTATGTATGGTGTGGTGTTAAAACCCCGTCCGGTCGCTTTTCGCACGACGAGATTGACGGCACCGCGGCGGCGTTCGGAAACTCGTCTTTGAAATATTCAAATCCGGTAAACGGGACGGACACCCGCGCTGCCAGACGTGTGTGCGTACGTGTGTACTATACGCAGTGCGTGCGCGTGTACCTATTGTCGGAGTCTGCGCGTATGAATGGAAAAAGCGGTCCTGGGTTTTTTTTTTTTTTTTTATTATATTTTATTTTATTTTATTGCTTCTTTTTCGTCGAACGAAATCGTCGCCGCGCGACAAGAAAGAAAAACGATCGCGACGATATTCCGCAGTTTTACACACAATATCGGGGAACGTTGTACAGACGAGCCGCGCGTGCGTTTTTTTTTTATTCAATTTCATAAAGAAAATAATAATATTGTTGTATTCGGCGGGGATGGATCAAACCGCCCGGTTTCGCGTTATTATACGCGACCCGTTGTCTCGTAAATCAATACGTTTCGACCGGTTTATAATTCTTTGGTGGTCCCCGCGGGGGAAAAAAAAAAAAAAAGGGGGGGGGGCTTATTTAGTTAATTTCGCGTATAGGTTTCAATACATACATATATATACGAACGAATTACGTTTATCGACAGTCGCTGCTAAACGATATATTACGTACATAACGGCGTGACTGGTCATTTCGCTAAACGGCGCCTCAAGTCGTACGACGGAGTACGCCATTTCCTCCCCTCCACCCCCCCCCCCCTCCCGAAACAAAATAAAAACAATTACGACGGTTTGAGACTGTGCTGATTGTCAGTACAACACGCGCGTTAAGTCTCGTTCACGCGACGACATCGACGACGTGACTTTTGCATAACACGCGGTGTGTGGCGAATCAAAAATTTTAGATATGCGACACTGAGCTATGTGATAAGCCATGTTACCCTATAGAGCGTCACGGCAATTGCGGTGTCGTCGCCGTCGTGCGAACGACGTATCAGGAATAGACCGGAAGAACGAAGGGGAGAAAATGACCGAATTACGAAAAAAAAAAAAAAAAAAGGGCGGGGGGCGCCGCAAAATCCACTTGAATCCGCCCTATAACGTACATGATATACTTCGCCGGCGCCAAAAGTTTATTCGTGTCACCCGAGGCCGGGGCCCGTGTCGAATATTGTAGGCACTGTGCAGGTACAGGTACAGAGATATGATGATAGACGCGAGTTTAAACCGAACAATTAAAATCTGCGTGGGCGTTTGCGAAGGATCTTACCTTGTTTGGCGCGGGGGGTCCCTCGCAAATTCAATTTCGTTGCCCCCTCCCCGTCAGTCCGGTCCTGCGCGTGCCATTATCGTTTTCCCCGCCTTGTATATTGTGCACGGGTAATACTGTCGCCCAAGTGTATTGCGCTCGCGGGAACGGGTCGCACACATACACATACATGTATACCCGCGGCCAATAATTAATTGGTTTTAAACGCGTTTTTCGTCGCGTGCGTCGCGTACGCGCGATGACGCGATTCGTTCGTATGTCATTGCGGGGACGAGATGCACGGCAGTGGCAAACAATAATAACCGCACAATGGTTGGCCGTTGCCGCCGCGATTGGATTTTTATGTGAAACATCCGGTGCGTATCCGGAGTGTTTTGACAATGAGCGAGCTTTATAATCGACGGCTGAGCACGTACACTCGCGATTTCCGATTGACAATATACGCGACGGGCCGCCGCCGCCGCCGACTCGGAATGCATTTTCGACAATGGGTTTTTGTGCGCCGCGCGTCGGCGGTGGCGGCGGCGGCGACGGTTCCTACCGCCGGTTTTTTTTTTTTTTTCCCGTACACGAAAAACGTTTGATAATATTTAATAAAAACGACGCGCGTATGCATACGGAACAACGGGTATAGATTTACAATCGACAATCGAGGATGTGTGTGTGTGTGTGTGTGTGTGTACATAATATACCTGTAAATACGGGAGGATGCGCGCGCGTGTGTGCGGGCGCGCGCGTGTGCGTGAATGACGGGAGAAAATAATTGCGCAATATGTTTTTTTCACGAGTGACCAGTCGATCGGTAAAGTCTGTTGTTGCTGTTTGCGCGAGGAGAGAGCGCGATATTTTCGAGAAGAGTAAAAAAAAAAAAAAAAATGGCAACGTTAAAAACAGCTCTTTATACACAATGGACACGGCGATTAAATGTGTATAGGAAATTCTCTGTTACATTATAATGTGGAGGAAGACTCTCCTCGGCGGAACGGGTTCAAGGTCAACGGACCTCCAACGCAGCCAATCAATGGTGCAACCGCGAGAGAGTTATTAGTTCTCGTTTATGACATGTTTCCGTCCGTACGTATACGTATGATTTCGAACACGACGAACGTCGGTTTTTTTTTTTTTTTTCCCCGATAATATTGTTATTATTACAAACATTTGTTCGGAACGCCGGGCGTTTTTCGAAAATTCGTTCAATAACGGCGGGATTTTTTTTGCGGGGGCGCGGGGCGGCCACGGGTGGAGGGGTAGGGGAAAGACCGTTGACCCCGCGGTCTACGTTAAATTTCGGCGTAAAAAAAAAAAAACGGTCCTTTTTGTTTCATCATTGTCGTCGAATCGGTGTGAATATTACACACTGTACATTAATAATAATATATACTTATTATTATTTATGTACCTGTATATATATATATATATATATATATATATATATATATATATGCGACTTCTGTTCGTTTTCTCTCCGTCCGTGTCGCTGTCTGTCGCCGTTTCTGCGTTTTAAACCGAACCGAACGAACGCCAACCGTCGCCGACGCGAACGCGGCGTGCGGGGGAGGAACCGCCACCGGCAGGTCCATCGGCGGCGGGGCAGCAGCGTCGTCACGGATGGAAGACCGAAAAAATACAAGAAAAAAAAAAAAAAAAAAAAATAGTACAACTGCAACAAAACACCGGGCGAAAGATGAACTCGGTGTGCACCATTACCGGGACGCGTTTACGTATATATATATATTTATATTGTTGTATTATACTGAAATCGTCAACCGGACCGTGTCGTCACGACTGTCTCGCGTACCTGCGCATAACGTGAGCGCGACGGCGACGGCGGAGGAACAATATGCGAGCGGTGCCCGCCGCGGATATTTCGCGATAGGTCCGCGAAATCCGCGAAAACCTCCCGGAGGTTTCCCAGCGGTCGCGGCGGGTTCGCGGGACGGCCGTCCGCCCGTCCGCGTGCCCGCCGGCTACCGCTACCGCCACTGATGCCGGGCACCGCTACCTGTGTTAGTGGCGCTGTATACGCGGTAGCGCCGTCTCGGCCCCGGAGTTTGTGCTTCGGCTGCGCGGCGGGCGGGTGGTTCGTTGCACCTTTGGCCAGGGTCAATTAACCTTATATATCTACAATATTATTATTATTGTGTATATTATATATATATATAAATATATATGTGCCTTTCCTCGGGTATTTAATTTCCCACGCAAGACAGCTGTCGTCCGTCACCATTTCTCATCATCTTCGATATTGTGTGTGTGTGTGTGTATACCTATAAATGCGGCGTGCGCGCGCGTGTATTATAACCACGTTATTTTTCTATACAACGAATCCGTACAAAAAACAACCGGCTAACAGCCGCTGTGGGGTAAAATAATAATAATAATAATAATAATAAAAAAAAGAAACAAAAGGAAGTCGACTTCGGTTTTTTTTTTCTCTTTTTTTTTTTTTTTGTTTCTAACCACTATATATCCCCAACGTCTGCCGCCTCGCGAACCTATACGTCACGTTCCCCCGGCCCCGGGTCGCCGCCGTCGTTGACACATCTCTCCTGTGATCCTTAAGTACATTATTATTTGTTGTTGTTGTTTCGCGCCGCCCCGCTACCCTCCTCCCGGCCCGGATATCGGTACAAATAATAATAATTATTGTTATTATTATTGTTTTAACGGCGGCAACAGAGAGCCGCAGCAATACAGTAGTAGAGCCGGTCGAGGGAACGCCGTCGTCGCCGCCGTCGCCGCTTTATGCGACACATCGCGGACGCGTGCACGTTACAGAGATCGTAAAAAAGAAATCAAACGACGCGATTGCTTTGTGCACCGCGAAGACGTTTTACGCTATCATTATTAGGGCCCCCGGATTTAGATGCCCCTAAGAAAAAAAAAAAATGACACGAAAATGCTTTAAGCTGCTCTAAAACTGGGACTGAAAAAAATACTTAAATAGTTTCATTTTCGTTGTCGTTATAGTTTGTTCGGAGAGTCTAAAAACATTCATCGGGAATCATAAATAGAATGGTTGACGGAATCCGCATCGACGAAGAATAAAACATACCGTAATTAAAGACGTATTCGAGCGAATTTCACGAAAACAACATATTATGTTTCTCGAGATAACATTTCGCGTTATCTAAATGTGAATATACTATTGATTCGTGTAAAGCGTATAAACACCTGCGATCGTAACTAACAAAAAGCAAAATAAAAGTTTCACTTTTGAAGTGTCAGCGGAATCGTGCCACTCCCTCATAGATTATTCCCCCTAAAACGAAAGAAAAAAAAAAAAAAACATTATGGGATGACTTATTAGGACGGAGTTAACCGCCTAGGGCCGCTCGTTATTATCGTGTCCGTAAACGGTGCAATCATTTTTGTAATTTGATAAGCCATATGGTTATTGCGTTGAATTCGTATTAATTTACCGGGTGATGTTAACTATTAGAAAAAAACACGGATAGCGTTGTAGTAGTGGTGACGGGAAAATTTTTTACCCGTTTTTAAAATATCAATACTAATTTTCCGGTCCCTCACGAGGAGTTTTCAGCGTAATACACCTCGCGTATCGGTAAACTCGTATTCGCGTATTCGCGCGGTTGGTTTTGTTTTTTGTTTTTGTCTTCGAAAACCGACGTACACGTAGATTCAATCGGATATCGACGGGAAAAAGTTCTCGGGCGAGCTTCGAAAAGAAAAAATAATAAATACACGTTCTTAAAAAGTTCTCGCGAAGTTCTCCGTTCCGCCGTCGAATATTTTTTACGACGCATGTACGATATTGTTGTTACGATCGGCGTCGTCGTCGTCGCCGTCCGCAATAGACCCGTAGTGACCCGATTGTAATCACGTGCCTGTCCGTCTGCGCCGGTACGCACGCACACACACGCACACACGCACGTTGGCGCACGCCGCCGCCGTACGCAATGCCGTCGGCACAAAACGGGAGGGCGAACCGGAACGCTCGCGAATTTCATGCCGGATTCCATGTCGCGCTCATAACCCATATTACGATGGAAAAAAAAAAAACAACATAAATAATAAATAATAATAATAAAACACGCGTGTCGCGTTGTGTATTGTCGCCGACCCAGAAAATCCGTGAAAATCACGCGACCCGTTGTGCGCGTATTGTGCTGTCGTAATAACGATAATTACTGTCATTGTGCGCGCGTCGGGTGTTTATGGTACACTCGTGTCGGGTTTTCGCGTACGCCCCGCGAAACGAAAATAACAATTCGAACAAACAGTAGCCGTCGGCCGGCGCGTCGGCGGCGGGCGGGTAAAAGCCGCCGCGCCGGAGTGCCGGAAAAACGCGTACCGACAACGGCGCGCGTACGCTGCACCGGCGGTCGGGACGCGCGCCGCGCGGTCGTCGTTGCCGCGGCGGCGTACTCGATGATAATTTAATATTGTAATATTACGAAAATATTACTTGCTTGTGCCCGCGTACAAATCCCGCGATAATCATTTACGAGCGTGACGTGTCCGATAGAAAAAAAAAATATGTATAAAAAAACCCGATGTTTAATATTATTATATTGTATACTTTCACTGACAATGAGCGCGGAAAGGAAGTGTGGTGTAATCCAACGCGACCGCGGCGGCGCGGCGGGCACCTCAATTATCTTCACTCGGTTAATTCGACGTACCTTTTAAAAACATCGCCGGCGGCCGTCGCCGCCGCCGCCGCCGTACCGCTAGCGTGTCGCTTTTCCCGCCGCCGCCGCGCTTCTTTTCCGTTAAAGAAATCTGCACCGCGCCGCCACGTACATTTTATACTGACCGCGACCTCTGGAGGCCTATTCGATTCTGTTAACGGGTCGTAGATTTGGTTCCCAAACGGTTTTCGCGTATAGCCGTACGCGAAACAATTACACGTTTAGTTTTTTTCTAAACGCCGTTTATTTTATTGTATTAAAACACGATAGTGCGTATTTACAAATTGAGATTTTACTAGGTATTATTAAGATAATATAAGAGTTACTAAACATCCGAAGTTACTTTACGTAGGTGGCGTGATCAGAAATTCGTTCTCGGTGTTGATAGTGTAATTTCTAAAATAGCGTTCCTCGGCGCCCGCTAAAAGAAGTCGGGGTGGGAGGAAGTTGGGTGTTTGTAATAATTACAAAAATAAACGACATTTTTAGCTCCGAAAAATGTTCACTGTTTAAATTCAATAAGCCGCTTGTATCCGAACCAAGCGTGGGAAAACGTTTAAATTTGTTTTGGAAAACAAAAATAAAAAAATAATGAATGATATTCGACTATATATTTTCTTTGAATTTCAATGACATTTGAACGCTAATCACAAATTATACAAGTACAATAAGTTTTAAATTTTAAATTGAAACTATTCGGGACGTTGAAAAAAAACGTTTCGGGCGGTTATCGTATATCTATAGATACATCAATGTCGTAGTTTAACAGCGGAGGTATAGTTATTTTTTTTTTTAAAAAAAAAAAAACACCGCCCCCGTGCGGAAATTAAAATTACAGCTGCTTATTAACAAAACAAAGGGTTTGACGTGTGCGGATCCACACCCCGTATTTCCCCTACCCGTAATTACGCCAGTGCTTTACGTAACATTTACACGTACACCACTTTTAATTGTCATGATTGTCCAATCACACCCGGACGGGGGTTTCCGTCGCATAACACGACGCGATCGCCTCCTATCATACAAAACGGTATGATAACCGCGCGTCGGGTCCGGTCGAAAGCTGGGGGGTCGGAAGTGCGGTCGAACCCTACCCGCGGGAATTGTTTGTTTATTTTTCTGGTTTTTTTTTTTTTTTGTATTGTCTCGATAACACGACGATAATTGTCGTAGTAACGTGCGGGAGAGAATTTATTAACGCGGCGGTTTTCGTTGTCGTTTCTTGTTGCAGGTCGAAGACGCACGGCCGAATCCGATGAATCAGTGAGGCGGCAAGGAGGCGGCGGCGGCGGCGGCGGCAGGTCGTCACAAAGCCTGCATCGCGCCGCCACGTTCACCATGTTTAATTTCCTCCTGCTAGTCTCCGTATGTCTCTCGTCAACCACACGTAAGTAAACTCTACGTGTACACGTGTACAATACACGCGCGCGTTTTATTATTATCATTATTATTATTATTACTATTATTATTATTATTATTATTATTGTCGTTATTAATGTTATAATGTTTGCGCCGTGTTCGATACGCCCGCGTCGTTATTATAATAATACCGGGGGTCGTCACTTGTACAATAATATTATGCCGCCGCCGCGTATCCGCGTCGTCTGCACGTGGACCACTCGCGCATCGTCGTGTACCCGCGGCGGTTTTCGACACCGCGCCGCGTCGCGTGTGTACGGTGTACGCGCTCGTACAACACGTAAACGCGAAGAATCGGGTGTCGCGTCGTATATAAATATAATTATAAAAAAAAAAAAAAAAAAATCAAAAATAATCCGTTGGGTTACGCGACGAGCAGTTGCGGTAGTGCGGCGGTAAAGAAATTATAGACGGCGGCGGCGGCGTCACCGTGCGTGTGCGCGTACGCGACGACGATGTGGGCTAAAGTTGGCGGCCGCGTGGGCTAGACGCGGCGGCGTTCGCGACCGAGAGGGCCGGGCACTAGACGTCGCGGTATGTTGACACGCTGCCAGAGTGCCGGCGTCTGGGCATATTTCCGGTCGGCGACGGAACGGAGCCGCCAGCCGTCGTCGAGACTCGAGACCCTGAAAAACTCGCGCGATCTCCGGGCTCTCCGCGCTCGTCGCCCGTGCGACGCGGCACGGCTCCGCGTGCGCGCGCCCGCGTCTATCGCCGTTTTTATATATCTGTCCGTTTAAATTCTGGTCGTTTTTTTTCTTTTTTTTTTTTTCCTTCACCCGTCTCTCGAAAATCACCACGCGTACAACATTATACGGTTTTTGTTTCAACGGGTGTGTATACAACAATACGTATAACACGTATTATATTATTACTGTATAACGACTTACGGCGACGACGACGACGACGACGGGGCGACGCCACCCCTCGGACCGAGGCGCGCGGGCGTGTATTAATCGAAATCGGATTATTAATTGCCCATCTCGGAGGTGACACACGGTCATCCTTATAACGTGCGTACCCGTAAACATAGAGATAGATAGAGAGAGAGTGAGAGAGACAGACAGACAGACAGACAAACGTGGTGTTGTACTCGGGTGGCGTATAGGTGGTCTTGACGGCGGCGCTAATAAAGATTCATCGGGTTCCCCGTGCGCGCGCACATCGTAATAATCTATACCTATACGCACAATAACAATAATACGAGATTATCTCTGAACGCGCGCGCGTATACGGCGTCATTAGCGGTCTGGACGAGATACCGATCTGTAATAATATCACGTGGCCGGGGCAGCTCTCTCTATACACACACACACACACACACACACGAAAATCCTCCGTCCGTCGCGTATACACACACACACATATATATATGTATACACGCCTATGTACAATAATGATAATATTATTATTATTATTATTATTATTATATATCCGTTATATAGGTACCTGCGAGTGAGTTATAATAAAGGTGTATGGTAGGTTCGAACGGTTTTATTTTTATTGCTTCGCCGATAAATCCCCGGATCCCCGACCGCCACCGCCGCCGCCGAGGCATCAAAAGGCCCATTATCTCCGGGCCCTTGATGCCCAATAATAAGCGCGGTCCGACCCCGCGCCACCAACGACGACGACGACCGCGGCAGCAGCAGCAGCAGCAGCCGGGGCGGACAAATCGATCCAACGCGCGCGAGTTTTGATTGATTTGCTCCCGTGCGTGTGCGAGCGCGCGCGCGCGCGCGGTAAGCCATCGCGTATGGGCACTTATAAAATACGAGGGGTTGGTGGCGTACACACAATGTATAATGCGCGTTCAACCCTTTATGTTATTATTATAAACCGATATAACAATATTAATAATAATATTATAGGCGTCGGTCGGGCGGCTGCGGCGGCCGGCGGTCGAGTTTCCCATATTTGGTGGAGCGCGCGCGCCCGTGGAACAGCGACACGGAGTCGCGCATAACATTACCGTCGGGTGTTATCGAGCACCGCGGAGACCCGTCTCGCCAACGCGCGCGTTCGTCCTACGTCCGCGGTGCGCCTACTCGACCGTACTCTCCATTACTCCCCCCCCCATCACCGTGCGTGTGCGTGTACGACACAGGCGCCACCGCGCAGAGCACGGGAGCAGCGCATATTTGTGCCGGCGCGCGCGTGTCCTCCGTGTGGGTACCTACTCGTTTTTCGAGAGAGAGGAAGAAAAAAAAAAAATCAAAAATCGTATCCGACAACAACTCCGCCGTGTTCCCGAAAGAATGTCGAAAGTGACGGTCTCTAATCGGTTGCAAAAGAATTAACGTAATATCGTAAACGGACGGACCGTGTGCAATTTGTATTGTGCGTCGGGAAGCGACAGAGAAAACGGGAGGCCTGTTTCGTGTACACAACATTACGCTCGAGCGTATTGTAAAGAAAAGAAGAGGAAGAAGGAAAAAAAAAAACTGTTTACCCGTGTCAAACGTTTAAAGGAATTACCTAGCGACGAGGGGTATGTTGTGGCGTGCGGGTATTTAACCTTTGGGGTCCGAATGTTATGTATGTATAATATGTTGCAGCAGCGGGTTTTGTAAATAATACGTGCGATTTGCTTTTTATTCGACCGTGGGTTTTTCGTAGAGGAAAAAAAAAGAAGAAAAAAAGTAAAAAGAAATCCCGATGCGAAAACCGCAGCAGGTACACACATATCGGTTTTTAATGAAAACCGCCTAATGTCGATTCAAAAAAAAATAATAAAAACGTATAATAATATAAAGAGATACTTAAAACGATCCAGATAATATAATATAATATTATACACGACCGTCGTCGTCGCGTAACAATAAACGTGAAATATCTTTTGTACGGTTTTTTTTCCCCTCGATCTTTGCATTATTGTCGCGGGTAGTACGTGTTCGCTGGTCACTTTTTAATCTTATAAACTGTTAATAATATAACAACAAAGGCCCCCGAAAGCGACGGAGGAATTCGTGAAATCGACCGACTACCGGTTTTCGGTGTGCGTATGTAAACGTTCGAATAATAACACACAATTTAGGTTTAAAAACCTTTTTATTTTATTATTATTTTTTTTTTAATCGAACGTTTTAAGTTTATTTTCGTAATAAAACGATTTTTTGTCGTGGGCCGTGTAACGCAACGCGCGCGCACACGGGCACACTGCACGTTCGTATATTTTTTTTTTCTTAAAAAAAGTCGATATTCCTCATGGTCATCGCAGCTGTTTTCTGTAGGTGGGTGGTGGTTGGAAAGGTAAGATGTACAAGCCAATTTGATTATAGTTTTATATACTGTGCGGTCAATGATAATTAATCGTCGCCGGCGAAAAAAACCATTCTGAACGGAGATGTAGTATATTATGTGTCGTGTTTGTTTTTTTTTATCGTCTCGTTGCCAGGGCAATCCGAAAATCAACGAAATCAAACGACAAAAAAAAAAAATAAAAATAAAAATAGACCCTAGGGGTACACCCGCTGTTTACGAGGCATTTCAGTTACGTTTCAAATATTTCTCGTCATTTTATACGAACGGATTTTCCACCGTAACGAACACAATACATCGGAATCATCGACGGGAAGGAAGGCTTGAGGTTGGAGTATCGACGCATCAGACGAATGAATGTGGCGTTTCCTGAAAAGTCGAAAATGAAATTAGATTAGACAACATTATAGAACGTCCGCCGTAAGTTGTGCATTGTGCCACGATAAGTCAGCAATTATGTATTCGCGGCGGTACAATATTTTTATAAATTAAATGCGCGTTAGTTTATAATTCGAGATTTTCGAGCGGATGGTCCACCTTACATGATTTCCGCAGTTGAGGTTTGTTACGATAACGGGCTGACGTGGCACGACAACATGTGTTGGGAGGAAAGCGCACGGCGCCCATAAAGTTCCGGCTGGGGGGTACGGGGGGGGGGGAAATTTCCCGTTTCCCCCGAGGCGTTAATGCGTTTTTGAAAAACCGACCGTTTGTTCTAGTCGTCGTCGGTTAGTGCTCGGAACCAATTTAAAAACGAAAAAAACCAACGGCAGCAGTAAGTCGAACGGTCGCGGCGGAGTGTCAGAAACACGTTTGACGAGGCGTTTCGTCGGACGCGCTTGTTAACGAAACGCCGGGGAGCCGGCGCGGCGCGGTCGTTTAAAAATAAATCCAATTGAAATTTCGCCGCCGCGTCCGATGACGCGCCGCCGCCGGGAACTTTTAATCCTTTCGGGACGACGCGTTTCGCGTAAACACATTTGTCGGTCGGCCGTTTTGTTAAACGGACCAATAGGATTACGCGCGGCTACGCACAAACGCGCGCGCCTATAGTCTCTAATAATAATATAATGCGCGAGCGTTGCAAAGCGGATTAAACCGCGCGCGGGAATCGGTATTTTCGAGTGTCATTGTCAACACAGCTGCCCGCCGCCGCCGCCGCCGAGAAAGGATTCCCGAAAAAAAAAAAAAACAACCCCCGCGTCCGAAAAATCCGCCGGCCCGTTGCGAAAACACGTTTCGACGTATTTTCGCGTCCGCAAACCGCGATAAACGACGGCGGCGTACCACCATACGGTCATCGCCGCCGCCGCCCCGGTATCTTGAATAATAAAACGCTGTGGCGAGAGCTAGTCGGCCCGCCCGCGCTCGTTCTCACGGTCGAGAGGGTGACGGAGCGGCGGCGGTGACGGTATAAACGGGCGTTATTAAATCGTCATTACAAAATACGCCGCCGCCGCCGCCTCTGTGTTATGCCTCCGCGGCCGCTGTCACTCCGGTCGAAGAAAATTAATAAAAAAATAACATTCGACGACGACGACGCGACCTCCTCACCTCGCCGCCGCGCACTGTTGTTGTCGTGGTTGTTGTTGTTGTATTGTCGTTGTCGTTGTATATATATATATATATATAATTTTGTATATACGAAAACCACGATGCCGCCGGATCCCATCGCGCGCGCCGCCGCCGCCGCCGCGTCCTTGTGGCGCTATATAACATCATCATTAACCACCAAAGCTGGTTGTAACCTGTCACACGCCACCGTCGCCGCCGTCACAGCGTTCCCACCGGCCGATCGACACGGGGTTTTTCGGGACGCGACCGTATGCAGGCCTTCGCGGGGCGGCGTCGGCGGGGCGATTGGGGTGGGGGGTAGACGGGGCACGGGGGTCCGCGAGACCTCACACGGAACCGTAACCCGTTTGACCCCCCGAACGCGATACACACCGACGACGACGCCGCCGCCGCTGCCGCCGCCGGCACGATCGTAAGGTACGGTACGGTTATTGTTATTGTACCGCGTATACCACACGGCGCGGCAGCCGACGTCGGTCAACGAGCGCGCGCGGCTACAGTATCGATTATTGTTTTTATCCGGAGGATATCCCGACGTACACCTGTGTATTATCCATGGTGTATGTACGCAGCGTTGTTAGCGTTCCTTTTTTAAAAAAAGCATTCGTTCCCGTTCCCCGTTCCTTAGAATTACAATATTTACGTTCCCGTTTCTTTAAAAAATAATGGAATTAATTCACTCTCTTATTCCTTTAAATGATAATGGAATTAATTCCTCCATTCGTCCGTTCAAAAAGGAATCGATTCCAGAAAATAACACCCCTTTAGAACCGCGTTCCTTAACAACACTGCGTATTTCGGATTTCGATGCGAAACGTATTTTTATTTTTTGAGCGATTTAAGCCAACGCTTTGCTGGTATATAATTCGATCCGTCCAACAGACATTTCAAAAGTGAAACTTTTATTTCGCATTCACACTCGCAATTTTCGCCGTTTTCCACTTATAGAATGTTTTTATTTATTTCATTGTATTTTTATAAGTTTACCGTGCATAATCAATACGATTAATAATCGTATCCATAATTCATGTACAGTTTGAATTCAGCCGATTCAAAACATTATTTTCAATAATTCTGTTTAGTGCAATTCGCTTCAATATGTTTAAGATAATCTTCATCCAATACAGATTGTTAATGGTTCATTTACGATTTCCATAACGTTCTTGGGTTGTATTCATTAAAGGCTTCGGTCGTCCGGGCTCGAATAACGACTATACAAATATGAGAAACTTTCATTTCGTATTATTCGCGGTTTTTCGAATTTTAGATAATTGTTTAGTGGTCATATTTCGTTTAATGGCATATCATTTCGGTAAAAGGCTTTCGGTTTAAGGAGTTTTCGGCTATTTTCCGACAGTTTTCGGGGCATTAAAATCCGGGCCCGCGTTATCATATACCGGTATTTAACGTTGCGTACGTATACGAGCGGTTTTGTTCCGGACCGGCGGAGAATCAACTAAATGTTGTACCGTACACTCGGTAGAAACTCGAAATTTCGACCGGCGCGGGCGTCCGCCGGGGAAGGATTTTCGAAAATTCCGCCTCCCCCCTCCTCTAAAAGAGTAAAATATTCGATGACGTTTTTGTGCGGAAACGCGCGGCCGTAACCGTGCGCGGCGGATTGGTGTGCCGAAGAAGAATCCGATGATCCGACGATAAAACAATGAAAAAAAGCCCGGGCCCGGACGGCGCGGCGGCGCTATAACGCGCAGTACAACGAAACGTTAAATAACAGCGACGATATTGTACCTGTATAAATACTGGGCGACGACGGGGATAATCGGTTTTATTATTATTATTTTTTTTTTTTCATCGCGCACGACAGTCGCAGTGTGGGTTATAATATAATAATATCGTGCGTCGTGTGCGTACGTCTCGTTACCGATGTATAGTAATAATTGTGCGCTGCTGACAAATCGATTACGACGGCCATAAAACGTTACGACCGTGTCAGCGACGCGCGGGTATTCATCCCGTTGTCGTCGGCGGTATTATTGTGATTGTATTAGTCGGTCCGTGAAAAAAAAAAAGAAAAGAAACGCGCAGCGCCGAAAAACTGCGAACCGCCGCCGCCTCCGGGCGGCGGGGGGGGGGGGGGGGGGGGGGGGGGGCGGTGGTGGTGGTGGGTGGAAGCGCACATCACGATCGCGGCGGACGCAACGTTACGGAAACGTTGCCGCGCGCGATCGACGACCACGACGACGACGACGACGGGCCGTTGTGTCCGCGCGTTTTTATCCGCGGTCGTCGCGTAACGTTTATAAAAGGCCGACCACCGAATCGTGAAAACAATCCGTCGTCGTGGTCGTCGTTACGAGATCGGCGTAGATACGAGCCGCGTACGCCGCGAGCGTGCGTTTGTACCCGCGATACCGCGCCCCTCGGCCGCAGTAATCGAGTGCGGTAGTATTACACCGTAGCAGTTATTAGGTATATATTAAGAGGAGGTATATTCGGGGATTTTATTATTATATTATTATTATTATTATTATTATTATTGTGCGTCGGTCCGGTCCGTCACAAAAGGAAGAGAACGCGAGACGGCCGACGACCGTTCAATCAAAAAAAAAAAAAAAACCGAATACCGAATAATATAATAAAATAAAAACCCGTGCGAACGCCCCGGCGCTCAAGTGGTGACCGCCGCCGCCGACCGTAATAAGGAACGTCGTATTATTTTTATTGTGTCTCCGCCCGTGTGTAATGCGCGGCGGCGGCGGCGGGTGGGTAGCGCGTCGTGAGTATTTTTATTTATTATTATTATTTTTTTTTTTTTTTCCGTTCCTCTCTTTCCGCGCGGCGGTGGCCTTACGCCCGAGCTCCTCTCGGGCGGCGCGCGCGCGTAATAATATTATTATTATTATTTAATTATTATCGCCGTGGAAACCGTACGCGCGTATTTTATTTATTACGCGGCCGGACGAGGATTTCGAGGTCGTCGTCGTTTGTTGTGTAGGTTCGCGTCGCCGTCGTCGCCGTCGCCGTCGCACGAAAACGCCCGCGGACACAAAGAAAACGCCGAAAAAAAAAAACAACAAAAAAAAAAAACAAAACAACCGTACGGTCCTTCGCAGTCGTTATCGCGCACAATTACCACGAATCGCGTCGTCTTTGGAAACGATTTTTCCCGCGGTTTCGTTTTGCGGGCTTTTTTTGTTTCTTCTAATTTTTTTTTTTTTTTTTTTCCCCGTCAATTTTCCGTCAATGTTATTTCGTCAAAATCACGAAACGTGTTCGCGGCGGAGTATTCGGGGTTTTTTTTTCTTCTTCTTTTATAGGCCCCGCGGCGCCGAAAACCGCGCGCGAAAATGTCACGTCTCGGCGCTACGTAGATAATGGAAGAAATGCTAAGTACGACCGGCGGGCTACTGTTGTAGACGAAAAGTCGGAAAGACAGGACGTGGAGGGGAATTTAATTTATTATCCGTGACCGTCGCTAACGAAACACGCGATTACGTGTGCGTACATTTTCCCGGTTTTCTTCTGGCTGAAAAGCTGCCCGTAGAAAAAAAATATACGCCACTGTAAAACCAACACGCCGAGAAACGTTTTGCCGAAATGAAACCGCGGCTAGACGGGACGAGACGTATTCTCGGGCAGCACGCGGCACTTCCGCTGAAGACGACACATGCATTTGTTGTTTCCGCCGTGCAAACACGCACGATATGGTCGAAACGTGCTTACGCAGAACTCGCTTAAATTTGCTTTTAATGTAAAAACACCTGTTGTAAAATCAAAAAAAAAGGACAACATTCCGGATGGCGAGACGTTTTTTTTTCCAATTTCCACGAACGTGACAGTGATTTTACCTGTTTACAAATAACGATGTTTTCGGTGTTTTTTTTTTTTTATTCGTTTAAACTTTTTAAAAAAAATACAACTTTTCAAAAAAAAAAAAAAAAAAAAAAAAAACGTACCGTCTCGACCTGCGGAATATTGTTCTCTGTTAATGCCGTAATGGGCGCTTGCACTGTAAAATCGAAACTGAGGCGAGTTGTGCGTAAACGTGTTTTTACTGTGTATCCCGCAGTGTTTCGTAAGACGGAAACATCGAAATATGCACGTGTAACGTCCTCTACGTTTTTAACGTCCTCTTAATAACCGCTGCCCGGCCGGCGCGCCGGTCGCGGGGCGAACGTTTTCGGGAGAGCGAAATGTCATTTCCAAAGCGTGTTGCTGCGGCACACGTGGCGGATATCCAGAGCAACCCAGTGTACCCGTTATTATTGCGCAGCTGCTGTTGCGTTGTGGAAACGCGTCGTTTGTTTTTCTCTGTCGCGTGCGTATTAAGCGATTATTGTTGGCGAACACCGCTGGCGAGTGGACGACCCGATGACGGAAATTATTGTCAGTCCGATCGAATTGTATACGCGAACGGACGACGGGCCTTCGGACGGACCGTAGTATAATAAACCGTGTTACCGGTCGAGAGGCGGATCTAGAGCTCAATTTTTTTTTTGTTTTTTTTTGAGGGGAGGTGAATGGTCGAACGCGCGATTATAACGCTAAAAACAGTAAACCGTAAGACCTCGTGAACCGAAATACACTGCTCCAATACTGTGTTTGGGGGGACGAGGGAGGGGGGGATCGGGGTAAATGATCCCGCTGCCCGCTCTTTTTATTCGGATCGGCCGCCGTCCAGCGAAAGGTTTAAACGCGCGTCGATTTGATTCGGTTACAAAAATCGACGTTAAAAGTATTCAACATCCGGTAATTTATTATACCATCGTATTTTGTATGAAAATAAACGAAATCAAACGATCGCAGTAACGCGTAAATCCCAACACCGACAACGGCAGCTGATGTTATTATAACTTGACAACTGGACCTTTATGAAAATTAACTGTGTACAGAGTTAATAGGTCATACGACGAAAACTAATTGGGTAGACGATAAAAACGATTGATCGGTCAAAAGTTAAAGAAAATTTACTTTTCAACTCGGGTGTGGGTTGGAAGGGCGGACGTATAGAGTAATTCGATTTGTGTGCGTACGTGACGAGATAAATGATTGTTATCGAAAAACAAGTTCTGGGCAGGGAGTATTGTCAATTGTTTCCCTTTGCAAGGGAGTCCTTGCGGTAACCGGGGAGTCCAGGAAAAATGATTTAAAAAAACCGTTAGTTTTTTCCCGTTTATTCTGAAAAGCTTCACAAAGGCGGATCGAAAAGTCCACAGCGCTCCGAACGCGGACAAACGCGCAGAACGCGCGGCGGTAAAAAAAAAAACCAATGCGTTCCGCGCTTCGGCAATACGAACGAATTTTTATCTCGGCCGATTTTTCGATTGTAAAACCGCGTTTTTTATTTTTATTATAATTTTTTTTTTTGTTTGTCGGTAACTTACCGCGACGCACGTTGCGTATATCGCGCGCTCTCGTTGTCGTTGGACAATAACAATCGATGGAAGACCCTTGGCGCTCGTGTAATTGGAATTTAATACGCGACTCCGTATTATATTCGTGCGCGCCGATTTCCCCGCACGAATATTATCGATTTTATATCGATTACACCGCGCGCGTACACCACTGGTGCAGTGCGACTCTTGTTTCGCGGTCGGGTGCGATTTCTATGCGCATATATACGCGTACTATCGTTTTTCCCGAAACGTATCTACTGGCGCGTTTAAAGCTGTGTCCACACGCTATAGCGTGTAAAAATCCAGTTTTTTTTTTCTCGTTTTGAACGTGTTTTTCGCTACGAGATACAAATCGAACAAATAGTAACAGGAATGGTTTATTTTCATTTATATTTCAAAAACGAATCGGAATTGTACGGATCGTTCACTCGTAATCAGTGAATTCGGTTTAGTTCTCGAACGATTAACAAAACGTTTCAAACGTTTATGTCTGAAGGCACTTTGCGATCTCGGTAACGCGCACGCTGCACGCATATGAAACGACAAAACGAAAAAACGTATTCTCCGGCTGCAGAGTGCGCGGTTAACACGTTTGTATTCATATAGCTGCTGCTGCTGCTGCTGCCGCTTGGTATTCACGTTTCCCTTATTTGAAGGGTTCCGTACCTACATAATATTTCTTACAAACCACTCAAACACGGCGTACCCGTCGGAATTTTTAAATTCCGAACGATTCCGTTAAACTACTCGTTTCGGTGTCGACCGTCAATTAGTACAACAATAGTTGTTATTGTTACACCCGATATTCACGGACCCGTCCGTACACGTTCGTAACGCGTTCGTGCACGACGTCATTTGAACCGCCGACAATCGGTCGGGGGAGGCCGACGATTTGTTTGTCGTCACAAACGTGTAACCCAAACGCGTTGCACAGTTGCGTTTTACATCGGAAAGAAAATGGTTTTAGAAAAACAAACGGCGAGTGAGGGATTCGCACTGTTTTGGCGACCGGAGTCGGCTCGCGGAAATAGGATCGGAAACATAAAAAATTCGTACGATAATATTATAATGCAGTCGAGTGTCAACACGTCGATTGAGTTCGGGGAGCTGCGAGCGCGGAACTCGGAAAACACGCGGGTCGAACGTATTTTTCTCACCCTCGAGGTCCGAGACCCGGACTGCGTTACGGCGGAAACTGTACAGCCGAAGGTATCCTCAAAAGAAAACTTTAACTGGCGGTAATCGGGTGGGAGGGGATGGGGGCGGCGGTCGTTTCGCGGATTTTCGTCCTCGCGGGCAAAAAGGAAAAGAAAAGATTTTCACGTCGGCGGCGGCGTGTGCGGGCGGTGCCGAAGCGTCAGATTAACAACAAATAAAAATACGCGTCGTATACGCGCCGCGCACCGTTTCCGGTATCGTCGTCGAAGGCGGCTGCGGAGCGCACAGGAAGCGGCACGTTTGGTGGCCGCCGCCGTCGTAGCCCCATGCATGCCAACCTAACATCACACGCGTGACCGAGTGCTTTACTATATTATGTGCACGTGTGTGCGCGCGTGTGTGTACATTACGATATTACGATACGACGGCGTTCTCCTATTAGAAAAAAAAAAAAAAACGTGCGCGCGCGTGTGTGTGAATTACGTACCTATACACATACAACAGACGTGTTGATTGTTCGCCGCGCGGACGTGTCCTCCGGAGGACAGGTTCGCGCGGCGGCGGCGGCGGCGGCGACGTTTCCTATACACGTTAATTTTATACCGCCGCCGTCGTCTCCGGCATTCGTTTTATCAATGAAAACCCGCAAAGTCTGCGCGCGTGTCTCGTGTGCATCTCGGTGTCTGCGGCTCGGCGGTGATGGGGTCGGGGGGAGGGCCCGCGGCCGTGTGAACGGCTAACGCGTGGAAAACGCGAATCGCGTACGACGGCGTTGCCGCGCCCGACGTTAGATTTTCGGAAATGCGTTTTTTTTTTTTTTTTAATCGATTTCGGGTTTTCCCGCGCCAACAGTAGAAAACACGCATTTTTTTTTTTCGGGAGGCAGGTAAACTAAAACTCAAAAACGAGAAACGTTCCACGCGTTTTCCGCATTTTTTTGAGCGTTTTTCGGACGTTTTTGTGTATCGACTCGGACAATTCTGTGAACATTATCCCGGGAGATGTTTCGCCGGTCGTGAAATTCCCTTGAATGCGGCGGGTCTCGGGCGTTTTTCGTCTATTTATTATACAGATTGTGTTGTCTTTATCGACGGCCACGCGGCGCGTCATCCCCGGCGCTCACTCAAATTACGACAAACAAAAGCGAAACCCTTGCATTTTCGTTTTGTTCCGCATTTCGATTCAAGAGTATTATTTCGCTTAAAGGTATTTATTTTTTTTCTAAATTTCAGAGCGTTTTTTTCGACAGTTTTCAGAGCGATTTATAATCCGAGGCCTAATTATTGTGCCGCAGGCGCACACCTTAAATTATACTATATTATAGCGGATCGCATTCATCGTCTCTCTCTCGCGCGCGCCGGGTTTTCGGGAGAACTTCTTCTTTGCACGCCCGTCGCCGCCGTCGTTCGCCGCAATCCGACGGTCGCGATCCCGCCGCCGCCGTTCCGCGATGGTCACCGACCTCACGGTACACACTATCGGCGTGCCAATAACAACGGCAGCACCGCGTTTTCCAGCACGCGTATAACAGTGCACGGTGTACAATGGCGGCCGTACGGTATACCCATTACAACAGTGCCACACTGCTGTACTGTAGCCGCAACAGTACCGCCCCGAGCGACCGTAGACGTTGTAGCAGCGGCAGCAGAGCAGTACCGGCGGTACAGCGGCGACGGCGCCGTTTACGCGCGCGCGCGCGTGTATTCAGAGCGCGAAATAGTTTGGATAGCTCACGCGAGCAGAACGCCTCTCTCAACAATATTGTTGTACAGCAGTACACCGTGGTATATAATATCGTGTACCGCGGGCTCGCCCCGGAAACGTCGCACGGACGTCTCGCATTGGCGGCGGCGGCGGCGTCGGCGACGGTACGCGCCGCAGTCTGTCGTACGCGTATCCGATACGCGCCGCGTGCGTGTACCGCGGGTTACGTGCGCGTTGTACGAAAAATGCGTCGGCGGCGCACGGACGACGACGGCGGCGCGCGTTGTGTATCGCGAACGCGCCGAAAACCCGCCCGGAAGCCTTTCATCGGCGGCGGCGGCGGCGGCGGCCGTCCGGCGTACGGTTTTCGCGCGCGAGAGGGAACGGGGCGGGGGGGCTGGAGCCCCGCGTGTAACGCAAGAACTCGCGTCGGTCGGGGTTACGACACTCGCGTTCTCCGGGGGCCCCCCCCCGTTCGCAATAGCGTCGGTGTCGGTGTCGCAACATCAAATCCTGCGCGCGACTCCGCGAAAACAATGCGAGTATTATATTCGCGCGTCGTCTCCCGTTCCCGAAATTCGCGAAAACCGATGGACCGGGGCCGTACTTTTCGAGGCCGCGACCCGACAACCGAAATTTCGAGCGGGACCCTTTTTATTACGACCGTACACTTGCCGACTCGTCGACGCTTTGCCGTTGCAAGTGATAATAGTGCGCCTATTTAAATAACAGTAATGGTAGCAATAGTGGTTTTCTTGTCCGCGACATCCGCATCGTCGTCGTCGTCCGTCACGTCACCTGCAATGTTACCCGCGCGTAAACAACTAGCGATATTCGTGCCGGAAATACCAATGAAAACTTAACCATCGCGATTCTCGCATGGGGACCTCTTGTTCTTGTTCGAAAACAGAATAACCGCGCTGATATCGAGCGTATCGTTTCACGGGCGAAAACGGTTCAAAAGTCGGTCGTGTAGTTCTCGAGCTTATCCGTCGCAGACACACGAATCGGTTCTCTTTGCAATAACAATTACAATCAGCAGCGCCTGTAGATCGCTAGCTATTTAAACGTGTTTGACGACCTTAAGGGAAATCGATTGTTTTAGAGACGATCGATCGGACGGACGGGTCGTTTATAATAAAACGATCGTTCGACGACGACGATTACGACGGGGCCCGGTATACGAGCGATTACCGTTTTACCGGAGTTGAATATTAATGTCGTTAAACGCGCGACGTGACAGCGATTAATTATTACGGCAATTACGGGGAGAAAATAAAAAAAAATTAAATATTAATTACAGTTTTTTCCCCCTCGTTCTAAATTACCGCCGTGACGCGAAAATTAATTTATCGATAATATTGCGTCGACTTCGGCGAAAGAAACGGGCGCGAGACCGCACTTAAAGCGGCTCATTTTCGCACCGTCGGTACATTGATAACGCGCGCACGTTTTTTTACAACGCTCTTTCCCCTCCCCGTCCCTCTTTCCCCCATTTTTTTTCCGTGTCCGGAAATCTCGCTTCCGATCGCTAAACGACCGGAGACGTTTCCTCGTCTCGTTTCCGACGTGGTCGACGGCGGGCGTTCGGGAAACGCGTGGTTCTCCGATTTTCCGAACGGTTTCTGCGTAACGCTCGAGGGGGAGGGGCTGTAACGGAAAAACGCGCGCGTTTTCCGTGTGTTGATCGTACAGAGAGTCGAGCTCGAGAGTTTGACTCCGGTTGAAAATCATAATAAAAAGTACGAGTTTTTTCTCGGTAAGCACTTTTTTTTTCTACTTCGGTCGAAAAACAGTTTTTCGCTACGGACATAAAAGCTCGGACAGCCGACGCCGTATAACAGAAAAAACTTTCCTTCTCCCCACTTTTCACCAATACCCGAGCGCGTGAAACTTTTGTCGGTTTTTTATCGAATTATAATAATAATAATAATACTTTGCTCCGAAATACAATAGTGTCGCGGTGCTATAACAGTACGAAACTTCTCGAATCGCTCGTTATACGTGTTTTTCGCGATGTTTTTTTCGGTTTTTTTTTCGTCGTTCTTTTATTTCTTTATCCCAGTCGGTACAACTATATAATGTACGTAATACGGTTGACGGCGTGCCAAAAACGTCGACATTTTATCGCGTCGGATCGGAACCGACTGAAATATCGTCGATGAAAATCCGCATCCCCTGCGGCGCGGCGGTACCGCGATGACGCGACTTCTCTCGTTATACCGAATCACCGCGCTCCGTTCGAGACGAAATAAAATGTCGTCGGACGGCCGTAAATCATATAGAAACCGGTCGTATATTATTTTTCCCGTCGAAAGTATAGCGTAGTAATAACACGCGATAAATCGTTTTTTCCGTTAGTTTCTCCTCGGCGCTGAGTTTCTCGTCCGTTTTCGCCGGGGCGTACAGGACGATCGTCTATTAGGCGAACGCCGCCGGTCATCTAATCGGTCCAAAGGATTACGTACGTTTTTCCGGAACACGACACGTCATTTTTCGGTATCCCGTAAATGCACACGGACGCGATTTTATTGTTTCCGACGCGCTCTTTTCGGGCGCCGGTCGATTTCCGGCGGGCGCGTCTCGTAGCGGTTCGATATAACGCACATAGAAATCGATAGGTAACAATATTAATAATGATAGTATAGCGACGACGGACAAAACGTTTTTGGATATTAAACGTCGGTTAATCGGTTATAGGTTTTCGAAGAGTCGCGCGCATAATATTTCTAATGCGATAATAATTATTGTATTATTACTCGCGTATGTTACTGATAACGGTAAATTTTCTCGTTAAACACCGCCATTGGCCGCGGCATCAACGTCCGATTTCGTACACTGTGGCCCATACTGTAATGTAACGTAATTGCTCTATACAGACGTTTAACCGACGGCAAAATATTCTAACAATCGGATGCCGTCCCGTCCTCGTTTGCAGTCTTCTTCTCTGCGCGCGCGGTGTCCGTCCCTGAACTGCGCATGATAACGCGCATCGACGACGTAAGCCGCCGCGTCCGGTTTGAACGTCGGTTGTTGGCGTACAAGAAAGTCCTCGATTGTCCTCGACGTCTTCTCGGTAATCCGGGATGACGGGAATCTCGTCCCGGTGAAAAATTAAGATCTTTACGGGCGTTGCCGCGTTTTAGACCCGATCGGTGCCGCACCGAACGGGTTATCTCGCGGTTTTCTCAACGGTTTTCCCACCGGTTTCGTATCGTTGCCGTCCGTTTGAAACCATTACCGCAGAGGCCTGGAATTTTCACCGAACGCCTAGGCGCGGCGAAATTATCCAAACAACCCGACGCTTTTCGAGCCAACGGTCGTGCAAGTTTTCTGTTTATTCGTCCGAACGGTCCGAATCCCGTCGAAAATCGCGAAAATAACGCGGGCATTTCAAAGCGCATTGGGACTCTGTTCGTATTTCGTCGGCGACATCGACATACATCAGCCCGCCTACGGCGGCACACCTATCCGCTCTGTTTCGATCCGTTTGTCTTGTAAAAATGACGTCGAATCGCACACACTAGACAATTACATTCACGGTGCGAATAATTCGCGTCGGAATGTCGCGCGGAAACGACGATTTCACCGTCCTCGGCGCCGTGCCGCGCCGCGCTCGCCGAATGCCCGACAATTGAAGGACCCGAGTTGTTGCCGCAAGCAAATCTCCTCACCTTTCCCCCGTTCCCAATGCTGTGGTTCGACAGACGCTTTGACATGTACCCGCGGGCGCAACCAGACCACCGGACTCTGGGGGTGCTGAAATTGCGAACCCACGACCCGTGGGGGGCTATGTCCTCCCCTCGCCACAATCCCCTTTACACGGCTCTCACAATAGCCGACTACACCTTTCATTTGCGATTTTGCATGTACGCATTTGTCGCGACTGTTTTAACGTTATTTTTCATGCACACAAGCGCATTGGTCCGTAGGAAACCTATGTACTATTAAGTTCCGTTAATTTTATATTTATGAAATTCGCGGATAGAATATTTAGTCGTTACTATTCGAGCCAAACACCCCCTAGCAACCCATCCCCCCCCCGTCTTGTTCGCGCGGACGTTTCTTCTGTATTGCTGCCTTTTTTTTTTTTTTTTTTGTTAAATACGCATCATCCTCGGCTCTCCGGATGCGCTCGGGCTCGTTGGAAACCGTCATTTTTTCGACGCCCGACAACATTGTACGGACTATAAACAGTATCCAGGTATAAAACGGGCGTAACACACGCGTTTACGCCGTCTAATTATTCGCTCCGGGACGGTCCGGGGCCGCACCGTTCTCGTGTCAACACGCGCCGGCGCGGTTATAAATCGCCGTCGCATACGACAATACCGTGCGTTGTAACAACGACGAAAAGCGACATCGGCCGATACGGACGGCCCGTGCAGTAGTCCGCCGTGGACTGCGCCGGGACGCGGCGGGCGAGCACGACAATCGGAATTAAAAGAGAAAAAAAAAAAGCGGCGGCGGCGTATAATAATATTATAATGAACGGTGTCCCGTCGCCCCGGTAGTGTCGGCGTGTACGCCGTCGTATCCCGGGTAATAAATATCACCTGGGCCCCGTTTTTTTTTTTTTCGTCCACTCTCTTCTTTTCGGCGGCCTTTATATGCGGCGGGGTACGTTGCCGCAGCGGCAGCGGCGGCAATGCGCGCGTGTATAATAACGTGAATAATAATAATATAATAATAATATTCGGGCGACACGCGGAGCGTTTGAAACGCCGCCGCCGACGGTCATGTCACGATAATGTACACGCGGACGCGCGCACGCACACGCGCGCGTACAATGCCCCCGTCTCGTCGCCACCGAAGAAGAGCGGGCCGCGGCGGGCGACGGCAGGGGAGTGTCGTTGTGCGCCGCCGGCGACGACGACGACGACGACGAGAAGGAATCGAGATTATATTTTTATTATTATACCGCGGTATACCGTATCCGTACCGCGCCGTGTGCGTGTGACGCGCGTGCATTGCGGCGGGTGCACACGCGTCAAAAAAACTCGAGAGAGGAAATCCTGTCCCGTTTAAACAATGCGTGCGGGACGCAAACACCGCCGGATAGCACCGGCTAGTGCGCCGCGTTATCACCTGCGCCCGGCACCCCTCCCCCGCCCCCCGGCGACGCATTTCGGGGGTTCGGCGCGGTCTCCGGGACATTACCGCGATACGAAACGACAATTTATTGTGTACCCCGCCGGCGGCCCGGCACCGTCGTCGCACGTGTGACGCAGAAAGTCGAGAGGAGATAATATTGTTAACGGTACGAGCGTCCACGTCGCGCTCGATTAAAACGCCGCCACCGCCGCCGACAGACACGTCGTGATAGTGTCATACTCGTATTTTTATCGCGGCCACTGATCGATTTGATCCTTGGGGGGACCCAAGCGCGCGTATTAGAATGTACTTACAAACTGGAGTTCGACCGTCACCGGGTTAGTCACTTTTCTCACTTGTCGCTTGTTCTCGTACGATTTTATAAAAAACATAATTATCATATTGATATTTATGATGAAATCTTGGTATTTTGTATTGTTATAATTTGCTATGTGTTGAAAAAGAAATTTAATGTCTTACATAGATTGAACCTAATACTACCAAAGACTGGCATATTATTAAACAATTGGTTTAGTTATAATTAAAATTGTGTTATCTATCTTTAAATTATCACTAAATTCTTTAACAAGTCTGGTTGTTGACCTATCATACTATTATACCAATCCTAACCTACCATAATATTATAATTGTTGTCTCCTACTATTGATGTTAAATAAGTGTATTTTTCGTTAGCGTTAGCCATTTCGTTTGGTTTGGAAGTCACTGTTTAGTCGCTTTTACAGTCACTTTAGTCGCTTAATTGTACATTTTAGTCAATTTTCTCACAAATTTTCAAACCATCGACCACTTCCATCCCTGCTGTTAGTAAATGACAGTTATTGGTTAACCTTCAAACGAGCTGGTTTTCAGCAATCTAATATTATTTTAATATCCGAGTACTTAGAGTGATGGGAATATAAGAGTTCAAAGTCGCCTTGCGTCGCATTTATATTCGCGTTTTTATTTGTTTGGACCCGATCATACTCGATTGTTAAATTGAAAAAATGTTCCTTTAGGAAAGCTTTGAAATACAGTAGTTACAATCATGTATACCTGTTGGTCCGGGGACAACAACCGTACCCATACCTTTAGTTACAGTAACATGCTCATTTTTATTAACTGATAATCGGTTATGGGTACAAATTAGTTCGTTTCAATTAAAAAACTCAATTTAGTTCTGTTTACAAAATTCATAACTAAAACGTTCACAAACGCGTATCGTAACTCGCTTGAAAATCGAAATATCGAGAAAAAACCAATGTACCAACACACAGAATATGGTCTTACGTTTAAGTTTTAAGTCGATTCGTTCTGATATCAATACCGACGGTGCACAATTTGACATCATTTTGAACGTCAGCCGTAACTCGAAGGTGCCGGTTTTCCAAATTTTCTCCAATTTAGTGTAACATTTAAAATTTATTTTTTATGACCCCCGCCGCCTAAAAACAACATTCTACAGACATTCTAATGCCTAAAAACAGACATTCTACTTACGATTTTTCATTTGATTTCAAACAGTCGACCGTTTTTAAAGATTCGTGAAGTTTGTGGTTGTCGAAAAATCGTTTTCAATGCCTTGGTCTGTGGATAATACATGGTGTTCGTCTTTCAGACGGAAAATCGAAACGAGAGACGAAAAAGGGGGAAAAAAATTAACCGAGAAAACGTCTAGGAACAAACGAGAATAAAAACGTCTTTTCGGTGAACCGAGTTTTTGATGCGTTAACTCGATACGTATTTATACGGGCACCGAGAAAGTTTTATATTATTTTTATTATTATTATTATTATTTGTCATTGTACAGACATCGCGCTTTACGATGGTCGCTGTTTTATTTTTGAAAGTTGTTTTTATTGTGTGTGTTTTTTTTTTTCTATTGCGTTAAATTCACAACCCCATCATCATAATGATAATACGAGTAGTATAATAGAAACGCGGTCGGCGCGTAATTTTTCGTCGCTGTCGTATTTACAGCGCGTGCGTGCGTATAATGACGGATCCGATGTTTTATGGAATCGTAAAAAAAAAAAAAAAAACGAAAAACGAAAAACAACGATAGTAATAATAATAAATAATCGACGATATAACGACGATTTTCACACGGTGCGTGCGTAGCGTGGGTTCTTTATTATATTATTATTTTAGTTTTTTTTTTTTTTATATATACGCGTATACCTACGTGTATAATAATAATAATAATAATAATAATTTCGGACGTCAACCGATTAACGTTTATGATTAATAGGAGAAGACGAGGGGAACAGAAAAAAAAAAAAAAAGCCGGCGAAAAGAGGCGGCTTGTTTGTACACAAACGCACGCGGACCCCCCGGCTCCCGGCGGTGACGGAGGTCCTCCTTATTACCCGCCGCCGCCGCCACCGCCGCCGACGTCGAGTTGGTCATTTCGAACGAAACTGTCCCGCGTCGTCGCCGCCGTCGCCGCCGCGATACTCCCACTGTCCCCTGCGCCGCCGTCCTTTATCCTTTATTCCCGGCGCGCCGCGGTTTCTTCGGGCCCGCGCGGTAATGTAGGTAAACACGTAGTACGATAATCAGCGGGAGTTCCCACACGACGACGTTGCACGCGGGAATCTCGCGGGCAATAGAAATCGTATACGGGGCAACACAACGACAACAACAAAAACAACAATAATAATAACAATATCTCCGGACACCCGATATATAAGGTGGGCACAAGAAACGCTCGGGAGGAGGAGACGAACGGAATACACACACACACACACACACACACACAGAAAGAGAGAGAGAGAGAGAGAGAGAGAGAGAGAGAGAGATAGAGACGTTAGTCATTTGTCACCGGCCCGTCTCCCGAATATATACGTCGCGGCCGGGCCACACAATCCGAATCCTTACCCGGCGGCGTGTGGTTATACAGGGTGTTTGTTACACCGCCGTCACGCGATTTTCTCGGAGACCGAATCCGATGGTTCCGGTCCGTTTTTCTCGTTGTCCGGCCGCGCCGGGGACTATTGACGGAACCGCGTATACCCGGTTACCGTTTACGGTTAACGGTATAGTTTCGCATCAGTTTCCGGACGATAGCACCAACGTGGTGTTTGCTCTCTGTCCCGCGGTCGTGTGATTTTACGCCGCAGCTATATTTATTGTGACTCGCGGACGGAGGAAATCCGCGATAAATCAGCGCGTGGTCCGCGTTGAAAACGACAGGCGGTCATTACCGGTGTACGCGACTGAAAGTCACGTGGACGGCGTACCGTCGTTGAGATTACGGCCGTACGGCGAGGTGTAGGAAACGATAACAAATACAAACACAATAACGTTGTCTCCGTAAATAAGTCGCGGGACCGTCGAAATGAAAATCGCCCTGTATACCGACACCACGCCCCCGGCAGCCGGTAATCAACACGCGCCGCGGTCGGCTTGTGCATTACGGTGGCGTACGTTCGGTTAAGGTGTACGAGTGCGCGACTCGCAGCCGGACCCGACAATAAACATCGTCATCTCTACGGTTTTTTTTTCCCTTTTCTTTTTTTTTTCTTTTCTCTCTCTCCGTTGATAATAATACGATTGTAATATTTTACTATAATATTTATCGCTACTCTTTATTCCGCCCGCCCCCGCTTCGCGTGCATACACGTATACGTTTAGTCGGCGGCTCTCCTTTCACTTTCGTTCCGTACGAAAAATCCGCGTATAGAAAAACGATATTATTTTATCTCTCTCTTCTTCTCTCGTCGACGACGTCGCACGCGTAGTTCGCGTGGTGTAAACGAGATCGGAATTTTTTTTTTTCTCCAAACACGCCGCGTGCATGTCTGTGCGCGCGGTGACCTGGGAGTTTTCACGGGGACGGGGATGGGGGCTGGTGAATTCGAATATGATTACAGGTGTGCGGGCGTTATGTTTGCAGGTAGAAATCGGTATAACGTTCGCGAAACGCGTTTTTCCGGATATTTCGCAAAAATAAACCCCACGAAAAAGCGCGCACGCATTATTATGCGACCCCGCGGCGGGTTATTTTTGTTCAATTTAAACTCCCGCTGTATACGAGATCTCGCACCCTAAAAACCGTTCGGCTACAAAAATGTACCGTATAAACTACGGTCACAGTTAACGTCAAATACCGGGATATATTTGTGTCTAATGAATATCCATCGTCCGTCCACTGCCGCTCCCTTAAAAAAAAAAAAACTCCACGAGCAGCTTGTCCAGACATTCTCCCTAATCGTTTGGACTTTTCCGCGCGGTCACCCCTCCGCCACAACTATTTTTGTTGCAGAAACCTTCTGAATCGTGTCGGTCGCGTTTTGTGTGCCGTTCATTTTCTATTCGTCTTGCAGCCTCGTTCCGCGGAGTGTCCGACGGATTTACTAACCTGCTCGAAAAACACCCTGTCAAATGTCCATGTCAATCGGCACTCGGTTATTTATACACGACACTTTTAATCCGTCGTCGTCTCTCCGTCGTCGCCGGCGTATCACACGGGGAGTATCGAATGATTCACGTGCGCATCATAATAATTTTAGACTTTCTTGAGATTGAGCCCTGGTATAATGCGTACAGCTCGTGTACGGAAATCGAAACGGTTTCCCATCATTGTTACACACGACGCGGCGTAAAAAAAAAATATTTGTCTTTCTTTTTTTTTTTTTCTAATTTCGATGTGAAATACGTCCGAGTATATTATGCTGCGCGTATGGACCTGCCGGTCTCTATACACACACAATGCGTTATTATAATTATCGAGATTGTTGTTATTATTATAATTTTTTTTTTTTTTTATAGTAAATCTCGCCGATGATGCCCATCCCCGTCGTATCTCTTCCTCTTTCTAAAATAATAATAATAAAAAAAAACCATCTGGTTCGAGATGGCCATGCCCACGCGGCCACATCGTTTTCGATATAGGTGTTGCGACGACGCCTCGAGTATACAGGGTGTCCCACGGATATCTGATAAACTTTTGTTCCGTTCAATAATTTGTAAGATTTTAATTTTTTTTTTGATTTGTAATAATACCTCGCGTGTTAATTTTAACATTATTTATTTTTCCACGAAATCCATGATAGTCATTTTGTAAAATTATTTTGAAACATATATTAAATATTATACAAAAAAAAAACGACTATTAAACACACTAACGATGAGATGTTAATTTTCCACAAAGTTTTTCAAAGTTTATGATGATTCAAAATGTTTTTGCGTTGTAATTATTATCGTTTGGCAAAAGTGACAATGGTAACAATTAAAACGTGTGGAGATTTCAAAAGAATTAAAGACGTTTTACCTGTAAACATATTTTGTGGTAACGTCGACGTTTTTATTACACAGTATAAATTTCGTAAAACGGTTATATTGGATTTTGTAAAAAAAAAAAAAAAATGTATAAACGTACGTAAAATACACGAATCAGGAGCGTCGAACAGAACAAAACGACGAATGGCTATTGTTGCATTCGTCAGATCTCCGTGGGACACCCTGTATCCATTGTACGGCCGGTGGCTCTGACGACCGCGTGGGAGTCGCGGCATCATTCGTCTCTTGCAAAGGGAAACGGACCGAAGGCGGACACAAAAAAACGACCGTTTGTATCCATACGAATCCCGACGACGACCGAATTCCTGTAATGACACGTTCGCGTAACCATACAAAACACGGGCCCGTTCCATTATACAATATTTTATTTTATTTTCCCGATACAATAAATCCTACGCGTGGGTTCAGGTTTTTGTAATCGGGTGACGGAGAGAAAGAGAGATAGCGACCGAGAGACGGAGGATTGCGTTTACCGAGGATTTTTCGCGGTGGTTTTTTTCCGCCCGGGCCCTTTTAAAATCGTTTTTGTATTTTTATCATTTTTTTTTTTTTTTTGTTTACCCGAGGAGGACAAACATGTCGCCGCGCAGATAAACGTAGTTAACCGCTGCAGCAGCATTTATCAAAACATTGCGTTGCCGTTTTGTTTGCCCCCCGTGTGAGATAATGCTGCGGTTCATCGCGGTGGCGACGTGATGCTGCGCGAACGGTGATGCGGTCGCAGTACGTGTTCCGCTGCAGTAGGTCGTTTTTTATTATTGTTATTTATTTATTATTATTTTTTTTTTTTTGTCATGTTATACGCGTCTCGGCAGAACAAATTGCATTTTCCGCACACACGCCCACACATACGCGCGCGCGCTACTTTTTAACATGGTCTTGAAATATCTGTATCGTTTTTTTTTTCCACGAAGACGCGCGACCGTCGGATCTACAATATATAAGCGCAGTAAATATTATGTCAGTTTGTTCCGTCCGTCTGCGATCCGCAGTCGAATTTTCTGTCTGGTGGCGATTTCTGAAAACGTCCGTGCACAGGTTGCGGGCAGATCGCCGAAATCCGATCTTCGATTCGGTATACGGATATCGAATTTTTTTTTCGATTCCGGTTTACCTCGGTGACGCCGGACGCAAACAATAGTACAACGATCACAATGTCGGCCGATTCGGTTGTCGCGGTCACGGAAGAATAATACCCTTTTTTATTAGAACATTTAATGACCGGGCGACAACGGTCAACCGCAGTGTAACGATATAGGAACGGTGGCGGCACCGGGGTATAACACGTTTTGAATTTCCCCTCCCCCCATTTCCGTCCCCGTTCAATACCGGGACGGCTAGTTATGTAACTATAATATTGTTACCTCGTAAAAAAAAAAAAAAAAAAAAAAAAAAAAAATAAAATAAAAAGCATTCCGAATATATTATACTATTTTATAATAACGTAATTCGCGAAAAACACGATTTCTCCCCCCCCTCCCATCCGTTTTATTTTGTCGCAGTTTTACGGTTGTTATTTTTCCCCGCCCATCGGAATCCGACACGTAATTTGAAATTCAAATTAACCCGCGGCGCCGTTACCGTACAGAAATGTGTGTTACGCGTAGCATTGTAATAAAATATTATAGTCGTCGTCGTCGTCGTCGTCGCCGCGGAGCTATCTGCCGATTAGCGCGAACGAGTGTAAAAAAAAAAAAAAAAAAAAAAAAAAACGTTTAGTCCGAACATTTTTGTTCGGTATTGGCGGTTTTACCGAAACGTGAGTGTTTTTTTTTTTTTTTTTTTTTTTTAATACCGTATATTAGAAACTGTTCACGGCCGCGTATCTTGCATAATATGCGGATTTTCCGCTCACGCGCACGTCGACTCGCATCCGCGTTACAGTTAGTTTCGATATTTTATAGAACTAGTTGACCTATTTATATTTATACTTACACGCGTATATTATCGATCTTAAAGGCGCGCGAGAACATTTTCCGCGTGTGTGCGACGGGTTTTCCGATATTCTAATTTATTCGAGCGAACGCGAATGGCGTAGGCGTTTTCGAAATCGCGATATTTCGCGTTTCTCAATCTCGTGATTGGAGGGTTGGTGAGGGCGCGACTCTTTCGGGGGGTCAACATTCAATTATTTACGGTTGCAGAAAATATGAAATATCGGTCGCCGCGCGTAATATATTTATTTAAGGGTCGGTAAACAATTAAATATCCATTTAGGGGCCGCGACAGTAAGACAGTTGAGAAACGCTGCTGTGAGTGAAACAGTTAAAACGTCGTAAAAATATCGACACTTGTTGTTGCATCGAAAATGTGTTCTCATCTTTAAATCCGATACAATTATTGGTAAATTCAATGACTGTATATTAAAACCGGTGACGTATTTTCTACTTCTTCTAGCGGGGGATCCATATAGTTTGTCTGTTTATAACAGTTATACGTATCTGGGATTTTTTTTTTTTTTTATCTGGAGTCGGTTCAATATTGAATGTGTATGTAAATTCCAGTCTCGAATCAACTATAGTCCATTAATAATCGTTTTGTCCGCGCAGCTAAGTCTTTTTATCCCTAAAGTGTACGTTGCTTTTATCTCGCTAAATATTTGGCCGCGGCTTTGAAAACACAATAGTACAACGACACGGTTACAATGTATAATTTCTTTATTTGTCGATCTAGTAACCTTTTTCGATTAAAAACTATAACAGCACAGAGTCGTCGAAATTTCGCCGTCGAAGATTTACCGTCGCTTTCGGTACATAAAATAAACTATACCCGGTTATACGCGTACGACTTCCCTGCAAGTCGCGACTAACCTTCCCCCCACATTTCCCGCCCGTACAAAACCTAATCTGACGTCACGGGGTTTTTTTTTCCGCTGTTGTTTTCATAATTTCGGCGACCGCATAATCGGATATTATCATTCCGTATACTATTATCGCTTTGTATTTACGCTATACGTTTGCGTGTTTTTTTTTTCTATCGCGCGTCCGACATCCCCGCGCCGTCGGAAAATAATCTATATTTACAATCGATCGTACAAATTTCCGGGGCCCGTTGAAACAACAACCGATTTTCGTTTTCGTGAGTCCCCGCTGCGCGTCGTCGTCGTTTTGACCGAATTTTAAAACAAAAACGTCTGTCAGCCACGGCGGCGGCGTGCGGCGATGTCTGTATTGTAATACTTACCAACTGAGCAAACACGTTTCCGGGTCGACCCACATTTTCTTTCTCGTTTCCAGCGCGCGCGCGTTGTGTTTTTATAATCGCTTTTTTTTTCCCGTCGCGTCGTGTGCGCGTGTACAGACACAAACTACCGTTTTTTTTTTTTTTTTTTTTTTTCAGCGACGCGTTCGACCGCGGGACATTCACGCCGTTCCCCGTAGCGTATATCGTTATCGCGCGGCGGCCGAATTTTCGGAGCGGCGAGCGTCGACGCGCGTCGCTCTGTTCGGCCCCGGTCGGTACGCCGGGTCCGGCCGTCGCCGGTGGTTGCGCAAAACCGTTCAAGTCGCGCCGTCGGTATCGTGTAGCGACGCGGAAAACGGCGTCTCCGGGTCATTCCTTCGGGCGGCGAGAACGGTAGTTCCGCGCGACGCGCCGCATCGCGTTTTCTCGTATCCGCGAGGTCGCGGACGAGCCGAACGAGTGAGCGCGGCGACGAGGTGTCGTTACCGCGGACGCGACGGCGGTGCGGCTACTGTGTCGCGAAACAATACGCTGCGTTTGCAACGCGATCCGATTGGTTAACGCGGCCCGGTCCGGCCCGGTCCGCTCGGGTCGAGCCCGAGTATTGCCGTAGGCGCGTAATTTATAAATCGGTCCGGTGTACGAAGCCGTCTAAGCGATTACCGTATTATCGCGGCCGACACCCGGAACTCGAGGCGTACGAATAGAGCACGACGCGAAATTATAATACATTGTTTGAAACGTTTCGACGCGCCTGTAATTCCGGGATGCTGTATGCGTATGGCGCGCTAGAAACGAAACAGTCCTCGCCATCACTGACTGGCCCCGTTGACTGCACGCACGCGCCTACCCCGCCCGCCACGTCAATCCGGACCCGGCTGTTGTACGTCGATTCGAATTGAGCGGACGAGTCTCTCTGTACGCGCGTTCGTCAATTGTTTTTCCCCGAATTTCATTCGCTCTGTTCGAACGGTTATACTAGTAATTCTGTGCGGCTTTTGATCCCCCTTCGATGGGGAGCGAGCGTGCTCGGCGGGAGAAAATGCGCCCCGAAATACGCCGTTTCCGGGACACGACTATGGGCCAGCGACCGTAGGCCCGTAGCGTCGGGCCCGACCGGTCCAGCAGTTCGGGCGGCGAACGTTCGCGTCCGCGCGATAAACGCCGTGCGTTACGAACGCGAACGTCTTACGCGGGGATGCAGGCGCAATACTCAATTGGTCTTACGAACTCGTTTTGCGCGCAACGCGGTTGCGACGGCGCGAATTGCGTTCACGTTCGATATTGTCGCCGGCGGAACGGGAGCCGCGCGGTTCGTTCGACCGCGCGCGCGGACCGCTCTGATAATAATCGCGTGCACCTCTGTGTGTGTGTGTGTGTGTGTGTGTGTGTGCGATAACATTCTCGTGTACAGTACGGCGGGAAAAAGTCCTCTGCGCGCGGCGAGCTTTTTCTACGATTCCGGTGTACCAACCACCACAACGTTATAACACGAATGCGCGTACGGTGCGTGGTGGTCCGGGGAGGGGGGGGGGTACACAGTAATTTAATAAATCCGATAACGACCGTGTAATTTGCATGTCGTAAAAAGAAACGATAAAAAACAAACGTGTATTCTTTTTTTTTCGGATTACGCGAAGGACAGAAAAGCTCTGCTAACGCACTAGAAGTAAAAAAAAAACGATAATGTATTAAAACGGTATCTATTCATCGCGTATAAGTGCGTTTTCTTTTCGCGATACGACCGGAACGTACATAGTATTTTTAATAGCGTACAGACAGTGGAAAAGTGTAATATTTCACAACAATAAAAATATCGAAACGACGCGAAATAAAATGTCATTACACTACACACGCCGAACACGGTATAAAATATATGTGTTTACCCCGTTTTCTATATGCGTACGCGCAATAATAATAATAATATAAAACCGCATTGGATTTGTCGATTCCGAAATAATGCGCCGGCCGTATATACTTTCGTGCGATAGTTTGGCCGTCGGCATTTTCACGACCGTTATTCGAAACGACCGTATACCGTGTACGCTGCGGAATTGTCATTGGATTATAATATTATGCGTCGGTGTATTATCGTTAAAATACATAAAACATTTTCGTCGCGGTCGAAGCAACGGGAAAATGAATAATGAAAAAAAAAAAAAAGAGCACCGAACAAATATTGCGCGCTACTATACGTATTTTAATAAATAAGAAGCTCGGAAGAATAATCGCGTTATTTCATACATCCTGCGTGTGTACAGCGAAGAAGCTATTTTACAGTTTTAACAAGACGTCTCGGAAATCGCTTTTCGCAATTCGTAAATTCGCCAGTCGGTTTTTTATCGTTTTAAATTAATAGCAGTAACGCTTTTGAACGTACCCCCCTCTCCTCCCACTTGTAAAACGCCGAAAGTCTAACGTTACGAAAATAAAACGACTTTCTTTTAATATGCGCGTTTGTTTCAAACTTCAAATTGATTTTTTTTTTTTTTTAAAACTGTGCTAACAATTTATTACGTTTTTGAACCGCTTGTCGGTATTTATTCGTGGCGCCAGTAGCGTCATATCAGGGGGGATACAGAGCGGACACTCGGGCGTTATTTGCAACGGTCTGACTTTTAAACTTTGTTCTTAAGTATCGACATTTCAGTCGATCTCTGACTATAGGGACTAGGTGAAAACAATCTCAAAAACCGATTCATTCATCTAGACCTCTCGTTCGTAAAACATACTCTCGCAAATATACGTCAATCGCCAGTGGTCGAATTTTCGATTTCCTCTATTTTCACGATTTTTCACTTATATACAGAAATACGGGTAAGTTCGTCCCGGTTTACATTTCCGAAAGAAAATTTTTGTTAGGAAATCCTTGTTTTGATTACCCGTGTAGTTTTTTTTTGTAACAATCGGGCGAGTTAAAATTTTATAATTTTCGATTATGTTGTTTTTATTTTGTTGTAATTCGGTTGAAAACGATCGTAAAATTAAAATTTTTACTCGATGGTCAAAAAAAAAAAAAAAAAAAACAGTTGAGCCTAATGAAGTAGTTTAAATCTGGACGAAAATTACATTTCAAAACACTCAGACTACGCTCAGGAATCGTATTTCGTCAGCAACGATTTATCATCGTGTATACACGTGTTAATCGAATAACTTTCCCAACATTCCCAACCCCTCACCTACAACAGCTGAGCATACCCGTCGGCAGCGCCATCGGCTGTTTTTTTCGTCGTAATGTCGCGGTGTAGCACAACACAAACGGCTTTTTACGTAATCTACATCGTTTACATACACGGATCTCTCGGAATACATAGAAAGATCATTTCATCCGTATAATCGATCGACGACGAGCATTCAACCGGATCCGGGGAGACATTATTATGACTCATTATTCGAGTCTGGAATTATATTCTCTCGAAAACCACAAATAATAAGCGATTATAATTTTTTTATAAAAGAAAAAACTACTCGAAAAAAGCACTTGAAAAATATTTAAAATATCAAAAATGATAGGCGTATTTCAAAGTCTCCTCTCCTAATGGCTTTAACTTTTAAATTAACTTTTCTAACACTATATATGAAAATGATTAACACAAAGTCATTTTTATTAAAAAATAAAATCTTACGTATTATAAAACCAATATTACATTGTGTCGTTAGAAAATCGTATTTAACGAGTTAAAGGTCCCCAGAGCTTTTAAACCCCTCTAATAATTGTTTTTATTTTTTTAAGTGTTTTGAAGGGCTTTTTTTTAACGTTATGAAGCGCTTTTTTGTGGATTTCAAGAGAATATAAATTCGGGGTTTCTACTCATTATATTATTATTATTACTTACGATACGCTTAGTAATAATGACGGAATATACACGCACACGAGAGTTCAGGTATAAAAAAAAAAAAAACAAGAAAAAAAAATACTATACTTACTATTACTACTCTTCTATACTATCATACCGCTTACTATTTTTATACTCTGTGTGCTAGTGGGTCGTCTCGCGCGTTTGTATATACTCAACGACCACGACGCGGCGGTACGTTTTCCCAGATTATTAACCAAAAAAAAAAAAAAAAAACAATTTTCGATTTGTCCATTTGTGCCGCCGCGGCCGACTCGGCGGTATAATAATATATAAAATAATATAATAAAAAAATAATAATAATTACAGAGGAGCATATAAAGTAGCGGCGGCGGTCGCGTTTTCTTTTTCTTCTTTTTCGGGGGGTCGTCCGTTGGAAAGTGCGATGAGCGGCGGCGCGCGCCCGTCCCAGATGTGTGTTTACTTTTGGCGGCGCAGTTTTTTTTTTTTTTGTGAAGACTACGATAATCACGTCTCGCCCCAAGAGGATTAAAGAAAAAATTAAAAACACCGCCGTCCGCCTCCTACTGTAACCGGCGCGGTATTCGCGGTCTCGTCGTGTGGTAGGTCGCGGCTGCGAAACGACACGTCGCGTGTACGATCTCTCGTATGTACCGCGCGGTATATTTTATACAGGGCGATTATTTTGCGATAGCCAAACGTCTACGTGCACGGATGCCGAAGTAAATTTCGTTATATTCCAGTGCGAATAATTATTTTTCTCCGAGGCTTTGTTTGTCAATGCGAAATCGTTCGTTGCGATGGTCGTCGATTTTGATGACCGATATTAAAAAACGCCACTTTGTCTGCCGTCCCATCGTGTTTAAAATTAAGCGTGATTGTAGTGTTCGGTGTCATCGGCCCCTCACCCACAGTCATCCACGTCTCCTTGTCGAAACCCAGTTTCGTGATCGAACGATCGATTTAATTTGATCGCGTTCATGTCGTTTGAATTCGTTCGAACATCTTTTGACGATAGTTCAGCCGAAGGAGGACGGGTTCTGCCGTTCGTCAGCAGCCTTGGTTTTTCGCGAACATTCGAGTTTCTTTGCACACGTTACTTGAAAAAAAAAACGAAAGAAAGAAAGAAAGAAAAAAAAAAAACGTCGTTTATGTATGTACCGGGGAGTTAGCTAAATGACTGGTCCGTTATCGCCGAGACGCGTCGCCGGATTCTTCGGCGATAACACCGGCTGTACAATCGCGGCGCGCGGTTAACGAAAACAAAAACAAATAATCACTCTGTGGGGCCGCGGGTACGCGAGACGACGACGCCGCCGCCGCCGCCGGTGCGGGTCTCCTCTAATTATCTGTTATTTTCCCGTTCCCGTAAATCCCATTCCGGGCGGCATTGGCGTTTTCGTGCCGCCGTCCCGAGTCGACGCGCCGCCGCCGCCGCCGCGCACCGCCCACTAATTACATTTGACCCGCACGCCATACGCCGCGCGTATACTTACGGCCGGCCGCGCAGGTACCGGTCTCCGGGCGCTGCGTACGCGCGTGTTATTGCGCCGCCGCGTGCATCTCGTCGTAGACGACGGCCGCGCGCGCGACCCTGTGCAATACGTACCGCGTGCAGCGTAATACGTACGTACGGTCCGCGGGTGCCGTTGCGGGAGCAATTATGCGCGACGTACGGCCGTAGACTCTGGGCGGTCCGACGGGTTTATTTTTTCATTTCCCCCCTCCTCCCCCGCCCCCCCCCGGTTGTATTTTGTTTGTTTTTTTTTTTTTTTTTTACTTTTTCGCCTGTTATTCACGTTTCCGTATAAAATATACCGGCGAACATCGCGTTTTAGCGTTCTGCCCACAATATTATGTCGTAATTTTTTTCGCGCGCGGTTTTTTTTTTTTTCTCTTTCCGCAGCCGCCGCCTGTTGTCGGTTTTATTTTTTAAACGGGACCCGGCGGTGGTCTCCGTCTTTTTATAACAATAATAATATTGTTGTTATTATTATTATTGTACTAGCCGAGTCCGTCGTTGTTACGACAATACCGCGCCGGTGTTATTACCACCGGTGCGCCGAAACGGCCGACTTTTACGACCGCCGGCCGTCTGCGCGCGCGACAACGCAATTATTATCTCGTTGCGCCGCGCCCACCGGACCGCCGCGGTTCTCGCCGTTCGCGGCTCGCACGGTAAACGGCCCCGTGAACCGCCGGCGTACGGCCCGGCGACATCCGCCGGTTCGGCGAAATTACCGCCGCCCGGAACGAACGATCGCGTGCCGCCGATGACCGGTCGGGCGTTCGGCGAGTTACCGCGCGCGGCGTCAGGCGGCAGGTGCGACGCGCGCGAAAACGCGCCGCCTTGTCTGCGCGGTGTCGAATGCGAAATATTCACGATCGCGCGTTAAAAATGGGCGCGCGCGCCGGGCGGCGTACCGGTGGCGAATCCATTCGGGTGAAAACCGCCGGTCCGCGTCTCCCGAACCGTCGTCGAAACGGCCGTGCACCGTGTTCTCTTCGACGAATTCGTGTTCCGTTACGTTTGAACGGAACTCGCGCCGGCCCCGGGAGAATGTCGCCCCCAACGTCGCGTGTCTGCGCGTATCTGCACGCAACGGTTCTGATCAAATATTATTGTTATTGAACCGACGCGGGGGGATTGTCCGCGGAGCATTTCGCGTTCGAACGGCTTGTGCAAATCTTACAAAACGGTTTTTAATTTTTAACATTGCCAACGGGCGGCCCAATTAAAAATATATATTCGCGCGTCGAATAACGTGTTCTGTTTTTTTTTTTTTTTTTTATTTATTTTTTACGTTGTTCTTCGTGTCGGAAGGTGCTCGCGAAATTTCGATAAAAAAAAAAATTATTCGGTATTGCATCGTAATAACGTATCGCGCGATCGGTTCTCGCGTGTACGGATAGAGAAACTCCATTTGTATACATTTTTTTTTTTTTATTTATTTTTTACGTTGTTCTTCGTGTCGGAAGGTGCTCGCGAAATTTCGATCGATTTTTTCGGTCAGCACAGCAGAAAGCTTTCGCGATGCCGGAATTTCGGGTTTGTCCAATCGTCGCTTTTATATTGTAATACACAATCGCGTACCTGCATAATGTGTAGCGGGTACAGGTATTTGGACGAACGGACGGTTCCGCAGTGAATTATCATACGTTTCCTCTCCTCGCCCACTGCTACCTATTGCCCGTCACCTCTCTTCCCGTGACGGTCTCGTAATAAAAACAGGTGCCCGTAACTCGAATAATACCACAAAAATGTATATATAAAAAAAAAAAAAAAACCCGAAAAACTCGGTTAATTGGCGGTTTCTGTATCCATAGGCCCGGCCGGACTGCGGGAATAGAGTAGTATTGGTATACGTATATATTATATTTATTATCTATCCGGCCATAATAGAAATACGATATATTTTCCCATGGATGTTTAATAATATAGAAAACACACACACACACACACACACACTCAACACCGTTCGACCGCCGCGGTGGGCACACTAACGAATCCTGTTTTAAATAAATTACCGCGTATATAATAATATATTGTAATGTAATAATATTATGTATAGGAGGTACCTATCCATAGGAAATTGATATAAAAATACGGGGTTAAAAAAAAAAAAAAAAACCGTGGACAAACACTTTACGACATTTCCCTGTATATTATACACATTATAGTACCCGTACGAAAATCACACTACACGAGAGAGTACATTATAATACCGCGCACGACATCAAATAATATTACGTATATTATGCACCGTTCTCATCGTTATAATAGCATTTACTACTCTACCGGTGTACGGCGTGTACACCATCGCACACACGTTTACCGCGTATAACGAGAGAAAAACGTTATTAAGTATACCTTTTTTTTTTTTTCTTTCTAGTTTTATATATTTTTCGACGCGACAATTTTCCAAACGCCTCGGTACATAATTAAGACGTACGTCGTATTTCTCGTTTACGCGCGTGCGTACTCGTATTATACGTATACTGCGGGTACACGCCGTCTTGTGTGCGGGGCGACCGTCCGCTATGGGCACTCCGAATAATACTGAACTTTTTTGTTTCGATATCGACACGGGCTCCGCTCTGTTTTTTTTTTTTTTTTTTATCCAACAACTATACGCACGTACACGAGTTAGCTTTGACCGAGATTAACGGCGGTAAATCGACCATAATATACATTGTATGACGACTGTAGTCGGGACGGCCGTAGAAATAATATTAATTTGTTCGTTTGGTTAGGTTTTGACGTCTTTCTTTTTTATTTTTTTGCTTACGTATCGCCGAGTTAGCCGACGTAAAATCGAACGAAAACAGTGTTACACTTTCGTATCGAAAATGTCGACAACCCCGTGTCAGCCGCCGTCCTTGTTAGGCAGTGAATTCGAATTATTATTCCTGGTCTAGGACTCCGAATGTTCAGCTCAATCCGTTTTGTCGCTTTGGCGCGAAGCCCTAACAAAACATCTAATCTCTCCCGAATTTATAATTTCAGTGGGATAAGGGTAAATAAAACGCAGTGCGAGTTTATCCGGGAAGTGACTAGATGCGTCAATCGTCCCGTAACGGCGCGGATCCCGTTGGCCAATGTAGAAACGGGACATTGATGGATTACAGTTTAAATGTCGAGCGCGGAAACCAAGACGGGGATTAGAACTTCATCGGACGACAAAAGCCATTAAGAAACTTTGTACGTTTGCGATTAGCTACAACGAGAGCGTAGTATCGTTAGTGTCGCCGAACTGCGCGCCGGTTACTGCCGGGAAGCTGCGGTCGCGCGGCGAATGCCCGTAAACAAAGAGACACGGCGGCGTACTTGGCCAACGTGTTGAACTTATAACTTGCATACAATACCAGCTGAACAACGTATACCTACGTTTGCGGGGATTCCTTTTCACGGAAATACCGATGCGCGAGGCGTGTTTCCTCGTATAAAACGATTCTTTTTCCGGGTTTCGGACGCGGTTAGACTGCCGGAGACGCGCTTGGATATAATAATATTGTTTCGGGCGCGTACGGTGCGCAAGAGAGCCGGTCGACGCGTGATGGTATAATCAATTTTATTGCGTTATCATGTAACATTGTGTTTCGGACATTCCGGGTTGTTTTTCTCGACGCCGCCGCCGAAACGGCACGAGGAGATTTCGTTTTACGTCGTACCACACGCGTTCCGAACGTAACGGAAGAAAAAAAAAAAATAACCGAAAATAATAAGGACGTATTTTTGTTTTTTTTTTTTTTTATACGGCACCGCTCGCTGTTTACACGCTGAATGTTTATCATTACGTCGTTTCGGTTACGACCCTGTACGTAATACGCCCGTGTACGTGTATAAATTGCCCGGTGATTTACGCGTTTGCGCGCGGTCGTCGTCACTTATTCGACGCGCCCGGCGGGACGTGTGTCGCGTTGCGAATCGAAAACGCATCCCCCGATTCGACACGGAACGCGTGTTTCACAGGGTATGAAATAAATTGAGTTTCGGGGGGCGAAAACGCAAGAAGCGAACGACCGTGTATCTATAGGGAAACCACGCCGAGGGAAACGGAATCGTAATTTGTTTGTATTATACACGGAGTGCGTAGTATACGTATTATACTCGATCCGTTTTTTTGACCGCTTTTTTTTTATTACTATTATTATTTTTTTTTTTTAAGACATAAGTTTTTTCGCCGAAAACTCCGTTGCAGGGACTGCGCACACACGCTCGTATTCCACGCGGTATCGGACCGCGACGAATAACAAAATATTATCGTATACACACGCGCGCGTGCTCTTTCCGCGTATTTTCGAGATTTGGCGGATTTTTCTTAAAAAAAAAAAACAAACAAACAAACCCCCCCTCCTCGATAAATATATTATCTGCTCGAGCAAAACACGAGTGTTATGTTTCGAATTCGTTTTTTTTCGCCCGTCAGATTGAGTTGCGGCGTCTGCACGGAACAACATCCGTCGCTGTATTTAGAGAAATGCGACTCGAGTTTTCTGTTAGATGTTCGCCCGTTGAGTCTATCACGTGCATAATATATTGTGTGCGAAGTACATTCGTACTGGCATAATATATTGTACGTTATAGTTTAAAGTTGTTCGTTAGTTTGTTGTTTTGGAACGTTGAAACTACTATACGCTTTAGTATGGCGCGCGGTTGTTGTAGTCGTAATTCGTATGGACGGCGATAAATTTTGTAATAATATCGGCGTGTGTACTCGAAAATAGAATAAAAAAACATAGGCGCCTGTACTTCTATATACCTATGTATATATCGCTTTCGTTCTTATGACGTCGTCGTTCCGGGCGACGAAAAACTCGTAATTTATTACAATATACTGTCGTCGGAAATCATTTGTTTTTTTTTTTTTTTTTTTTTGTTTTACTTTGGTTTTCTTACGTCTATCTCGTGATTTTACACACACGCAACACCCGCACGCGAACGCACTTCAAGGGTACGAATATATTGCGATCAAATTAAAAAAAAAAAAAACGATAAATCGTTGTACATAAAAAAACGATTTTGAGCGGTGAGTTTTGTCTCTTGTGTCGCCTAAGTAGAAATCCGAGAAATCACGCATGGGGACCGAACTGCTGATAATGTCGATAAAATTGTTCAAACAAAGTACCGCGGGACAGAAAATCCGCGTCTTTTGAGATACCTGCGCGTGAAAAATGTTGCCGAAATACCGGAAAAAGCGTTTTTGCCGAGTTTTTTCGTTAAAACTATTGGAAATTTCAGAAAAATGTTTTCAGCCGTGTTCCCCCGCTCGAAAAATCCGAATCTCTTGAGGTAGGCACAATATGTGCGAAACTCTCGGCGAATCTAATTTCGCTCTTACCGGTACACCCTCCCTAAAATATTACGTATCAAATCGTCCCGTCTCGTCATGAACGGCGAAACTCCTGTGCGCCGCCGCGTCATTGTTCTGCGCTAAGACCTACCGCGGTACAGGGACTACGGAGACTCGACGGCGGTTTCGAATACGGTGGCACGAGTCCCTTCCGGCTCCGTTTACGTATCATTTTTTGTTATTATTATCATTGTACTGTAGTTATTGATGGTCGGGTACCGTTATCACGCGCACGCTCGAGATATCGAATGTTCGCGCGGTTCTTGCGGGAGGTCTTTTCTCGTCCGTATTATACCAGGTGTACTACACGTGCGCGCGTACACATACGATAATAATAATAATAATGGTATAATGTCGTACAACGACGTCGCCATTGTTCTTGTATTTATTATTCATGATGATGACGGCGACGGTGATGAGGAGGTATATTATGCGTATAGTATGGGTACCTACTCTCGCATACACGGGCATAATAGTATAATATGGCTGATATTATATTTTGTACAGCGTTATTTATTGTTTTTTTTTTTTTTTTGTTTCTACGATGTTTCAGACGCGTGTTCGAGTAGGTCGACGCCGAAACCGCGACCCCTGCAACCGACGGTACGGCCGAACGTCACCTTCCACACGTACCCGTGTCCGTCGGTCTACGCCAAATGGTATTGTCTAAACGACGCCACGTGTTTCGCCATCAAAATCGGCGAATCGTTGCTGTACAATTGCGAGTGAGTATTATTATTATTATTATACGTTATCATATCGTAATGTTAACATGCATATTGCAATTCGTAATCGGAGATAAGCTAACTGCGAACGCGCCCGATAGCAGCTCTATATGAAAATAAAAAAAAAAATAATAACAATAAAAACAAAACCGTTTTGGGGAAGATCAAACCTCTGCATCTCGTGTACTCCCCCGCCCTGTAGCTAGACGGGAACAAGCCCCCGGGACAGTGAACAAACCGTAGGCCCTCTGATTGTAAATGAGCGAGAAATTCGACACCTCGATCGGCGCGACTCCGGACGTGTTTTCTCGCGGTAATCGTTTGCCACGCGGCGATACGATTCGAGATTGCGATCGCAAAATGAGCGCATACGACGTCGCCGGTATATCGGCTGGGACGGGTACAGATCCATGGGCGGATAGAACTACAGGGAAGCCAGATATTTCTCGGTGGGCCCATAATAGGATCCTTGGATTCGCCTTTGGCAGTGATGTAATGATGGGCATTATTGAATGGACTACTGCCGAACTATATTGGTTTATCCGCGATGGATCCAGGTATGATAAGTCCGTGTTTATAAGGCCGATAAGGAAAAAAAAAAATCGGTAAAATCGCACATTTTTTCATTACCGGTAGGCCCTATCCATCCGTGGGTACAGTACTCCCGATTTTGAAAACGATTGATAATAGTGAACTTGGTTTTTTAACAAAAAAAAAAGGCTCGCCGGCCTACAAAAGAGGGAATCAATCGAAAACATTCGCCGATTCGTCACGCGACACCGCGTCGGGTAGGTTTAGTTAGCATAATCAACCTCGCGGTGACGGATTATCGACATTTCTCCGGGACGGGGTCCTGTATTTTCAGTGTATCTGTTCAACAGACGCCTCTCACCTCTGGACGACGTTCTATTGACATTTTGCGGTCGTCTGGGAGTAGGGCTAAGGTACAGACCAACCGGACACCCCCGCCGTAATTCCGCCACCGCGAACTCCCGAAATCGGATTTCGACGATATCTCGTGTTTGTTGTCGAAATCGCGAGCATACCCGTGTACACGCGTTCCGGTGTCGGGGGACTCTCTACGGCGTCTATTATGTTATACTCTTTTAACGCAACGTACCTGCAATGATGGACGGGTTATACGGACGCGCGAAGGTCGCTCCGCTCGCGGTGGCGGTGCCGCTGCGCGCCGAGGTTGTATAGGTTTGCGTCTCTTTCTCTCTCTCTCACTCTCTCTCTCTCTCTCTGCATACTCATGCACGTATAAATACGTATACATTTACGTATACGTATGTATATTATTATTATTATTATTATTATTATATTATGTACGTTATATTAAATGCGTGTGCGTATACGTCTTGGGCGCACATAATCCCCGGTCCGCATTGCGGGTCACGTATCTGTTTAATGCCCGGGCACGGATATCCTTCGGACCTCTTTCTCGCTCCCGCCGCTGCGCGACGTCGACCGTGTGTGTGAGCGCGCGCGCGCGTTGAGTCGAGTCGCACAGTCCTCCCCGGTCCGGAGTCGCAAATATTTCAAAAATTTCCGACCACACGCACCCAAAATCCGCCGCCGCCGACACCGCTGCCGCCGCCGCAGCTGCTTTTCACGAAAAACCCCTCTGATCGTGCGAGCCGCGGCTCTTGTGTGTCGGGTCGGATTGTACATAATAATAATAATAATAATAATAATAATAATAATAATAGTATGAATTATCGACAGACACGACAATAATAAACACCCGCCTACAACGCCGCCGTCACGACCGCGTTCGTCGAACCGCCCTGTATAAATAATACGCCGCGGTGTCGTAGAGAAATAGGTAATAATATCTGAGTGGATCCCGGCAGCAGACAAGCGAACGGCTCGAGTCGAAAATTTGGGTTTTTTTTACACGTACAATCTATTATAACCGGGCTGGAGGATAATCGTTTATTTTCTTGACTTTTACTCGCGATTTTAGTCACCTATCCAGAAAACGTGTCGGTATCGTTATTGAAAATCTCCTAAATTCGAATCGGTTAGTCGTGTAATTTTAGTATTCGGAAGGCGGCTAAACTGGTCAAATGTTTGTTTTATTTTTCTCCGTAAAGATTCGCTTTTTTAAAAACTTTATTGACTGTGTGGACGACTTTTTTTGTACAGTATGTGAAAGTACAGATATTAAATATAGCTAAAGGTTTTCAAGCTCTATCAGAACACGTGTCGATAAAAAAATATATTATAACAAATGCTTAAACTAAATTATCAGCAATTTATCGACGTGTTTTATCAAGTGCCCCTTTAACTTTAAGTAATCCAGCTACAAGTGCACAAGTAATTTCTCTCTATGATCAAATGTTTAATAAGTCGCTAGAGAACTTAGTTGAATAGGTCATTTTTTATGATTACGTTTGGTCACGCAGTCACTTTTTTTTTTTAATTACCTTTAGTCACTTTCAGCCCTGTAAATGTATGTCCTATCTAATTATATTATAACACATATAAAATTGTACTGAAAATTAAAACACTTTTACAAAATAATTTTTTTTGGCAAAAAAGCCGTACATATAAGTAATACATTCTGCAGATTAGAAACTGTTTAGTAATTTTTTCATTAATTTTTTTTCAAATATTTTTATTTTAGATTCAGTGTCCCACGCGGCTTTGCCCGTGCACAATATCGAACGAAATATTGTAAAAATGCTAACGTTTTTCTCCTCAGTCGCTCGTTAGTTTATTTTTCAAACGTGAACGTTTCTTGCCGGTGAAAGCCAAATCAAACTAATTATAACTGTTTTTTTTTTATTATCCGTGTCACCAGGCGGGTAACATTATAAATAGACAAGAAATAAAACAATTCAATTTTCGTACCTAGTAAATCGTGTAAGTTTTCAAATCTCTGCGTGCGATAGATTTGGCTGTACGTTGCAAGCAGACACCCGTGTCAATTATTAATTTTCCAATTTTGCATTTTTATTATTTTTTAACCATTTCAAATCGCCCATTCCGCCTGTGTCCACGTGTTTTTTACTACATGTGTGTCTTTTTTATTTGTACAGCAGTAGTTAACACTTTTTTTTCTGGTAGTTTGAATTTTTTTGTAATTCTTGTATTGTATCGGCACCGCTTTTGATACAACGGTGGAAAAACCGACGACAAATATCCCGGATACGGATTTATCGAGATTTTTATAATTTTAATTTTCCTACGCGGAGCGAGGTGGATTTGCAACATATTCTCGGATTCGCTACTGTGCGAAACAAAAAAAAAAAAAAACTCATCGTAAACATTTTTGATATTTTATACAAACTGACACATACGCGAATCGTTTGGACAATCATTATAATATGAATTATGCATTTCCGTCAATCGCTATAGATAGGTGTTCGAAGTCTTGTTTTTTTTTTTTTATTTTTCCTCATCCGATGCCTTCCGAGTGTGGGACGCGAGACGATATTACTATGACGACGATATGAATGTAAGCGATCGCCGTCGCGAATCCCCGTCCCGTAGACCCAGTTTTCGCGGGACTCCGGCCCGTGAACAATATAAATAATAAAATAGTATTATCGCAATAGCGTACGCGCGCGAAGCACGGACGAAGCGTAAACGAGAACGGTTTTTTTTTTTTTTTATTATTATTTTTTTTTTATTTTTTTCTTCCATTCCATACGTTTTTTTTCTCCTTCTCGACCTTTGAAAACACAATCGTTTTCGTACACGAGGTACGCGGGGTCGTCGCCGCCGCCGCGGTCGTATTATTATAGGCCGTGTCGAGAGCCGTTGGAAGGGAATATATTATTAGTATACATACATAACGGGCGCGCGCGGGATGAGACTTTGGAGCGTCAACGTTCCGAAACGGCCGATTCAGACGTTTGGATGTTAAAAATAAACGCGCGAAATACATCATTGTTGTATTGTACACGCGGCCGTCGCGATGGTTCGCAGGCGTTACGCGCGGGCGCGCGACACGGTACGTCACGCGCTCGTTGGCGTTCCCGGGATTTCTCGCCGGGCGGGGAGTGTGACGGGCGCGTGAACGCGTTGGGAAGCGAGCCGACACACCCCATCCCTCGCGCGAAAACCACTCGCGTTAACCATTACTATCGCACGTTGCGCTATCGCACGTTGTGCTATCCACTGTCCACTTCCACTATCGACGATGTTACTGCCGCCACGACAATATTTTCATCGGGCCGCTCGGGCAATCCATTACTTTTGTCATCGCCTACGCGCCGTCGGCGCTATTCAACGCGCTTGAATTATTTGAATTACTTCGGTTCATTTCGGTCGAACGTACACCATAGTTGACGTATCGCGCAACGTTTAAGTGACTCGTTATAACGGCTATCGCTCGTTACATTTTTCACTAAAAACGAACGATAGCAACAACAAAAACCCGGGAAAATACTTTCATCATTGTTCGGCGGCAGTATCATGCGATTAGCGCATTGTTTATGTCGATTATATGATATGAACTCGGCTAATTATAAAACCAGAACCGCGATAAAGATATTAATCGCGATAACTACAGACATTTAAAATAGACACACGGTCTGTAACCGTGCGTAGTCTGTAATCTGTATACGAATTTTTTGGAAAATGATAACGAGCTAAAAAAAAATGTTTACTGATGATATTTATCTATTTGATTATTATCACTATAAATATCAGTTGAAAAGGAAACTCCAAATTACCTAGAAAAAAAAAAAAAGAAAGGCCATGGTGGGGATCCATTCGCTATATCCTGCGAGAACGCTCATAATTGTATCGTATATAATACGTATATGAGAAAAAAAAAATACGAAAATTAGCTAGGACTTTTTTTCCGGCTCGTTTATAACTATTGTTTGACCGATGCGATTCGTATGCTATCCGAAGTGAATATTAATGTATCGTCGGGTTTTAACACATTTTCCCGCGTGTCGCGACCGAATCGATACCGCACACATCGCGCGTAAATAGTATGATGTTCGGAGGGGCTACAGGAAAGTTTCTAATTTAATTCCGACATGAGGGAGGGGGGCGAAACCACAGACGAATGTATACAATACGAAACTTTTCACGGAGAAATCACATTGTAATATTATATTATCGTCTTATTAATTACGATGACGTTGATGGAAAAGTGGGAAAAAATCCATTCGAATCACTCATGCATAAACGTAATAATAATATTATTATTTCGGTCGGCGGAGATGAGAGAGGAATACAATGTACAAAAACGCGTGTAAATACGTATACTTTTTTTTTTTCGAAATAATACATTGGTACAGAACGCGAGATGGTCGAGAACCGGCTATACACAGACGTACTACATAGTCGCACTAGTATACTTATAATTGTCCGCTATCGAATCGCATATACGAGTGTACCTATACCTATATATATATATATTACGGCGGTTCTTATTTTGCCGATTTTAAAATGAACATCTTGCTCCGGAAAATAATTAAAAAATACCCCCAAAGTTTGAGACATTTTGGATAATATTTAGTGGATGCGCACGGCGTTTTATTATTGAATAACAAAAGAATCGCTTAAATCAATGAAAATAGTGCACAAACGACCACAGATCGTTTATAGTTGTTATTTTTATTATTTTTTTTTTTTAAATAAAAATATCTCAATGTATTTTTGATACCATACGTGAGAATGTTTAAATTGAAGACGCTAAGAAATTAAGAAACTGTTTATTATTACAGCTAGGATAGTTATCACTATTTATATTCGAGAGACGTATACGTTGAGTTTTCCGAGAATTTCATGGGGAGCAAAAATAAATTCGAATCGTCAAGTTTTTCGTGTTATCTAGGTTCGTGACACGACTGTACTTTATTCATATTATAAGTTGAAACTATTTCAATATAGATGTAGTCGGTCATCGCATAAAGAATTATTAGTTTCAGTAGGTTTCTGAAACTTCTGAACAATCAAATCCGCTTGTACGTGGTATCATAAAAGATATTGAGATGTTATAGGATTAAAATTGGTCTTTTGTTTTTTATTAAAAAAAAAAAAAAAAATTATTATAAACGATCGAATTTCATACAATCTGTTTGACATTAATTATCCAAAAGGCCTCAAACTTCGTGGGTATTTTGATTTCATTAGACGGCAAAAGATGCGCGGGTATCCCGAAGGGAATTTTGAAATCGGACCACCCTATAAGTGTACACGCACGAGAAAACCGATTTAATAAATTTCCAGACTCGGTAACGTTCGGCAATATTATGTTGCATCGAAATCGAACGCGATATTTACGACGACGACGACGACATCGGCATCGTATAAAAAAATACGAGTATACAATATTATAATATATAGGTATATAACACCGTAGTTAAGCAGTGTGCACGTGGTACAGTGTGTATACGTTTAAAAAAGAATCGCGGATTAACGAGACACGCACATACGTGTATACTGTTGCAGATGACGAAGGCCTTTGAAAACGGGAGGGAGAGGGTGGGAGAAAGAAAAAAAAACGCATATAGTTTACCCGGGGAGTGTAATTTTTTTTATTATGTATACATGTACATATACCGTATAATACGAGCAATATTATATGCGTTTAAACGAAGCGAATTGTTGTCGAGAATGAAAATCAATTGGCCGCAAGGTCGGGGCTCTGTACCTATAGCTATACATTTATTATGCGTATTATATAGTTGTACTGCGCTATGGAAAAAAAAAACCGGACGTCGTAATTTTCCGAGGTGAGTTTAGACAACATCGGTTTTTCGCGGTGTGTGGGAAACGAAATGTTTATCGCGCGTTAACAACAAATCATTATTATTATACGTGTAGTTTTAATTATTCGTGTGGTTCGCGATTTGTACAGGTACATACAGACTTTTTTTATTTATTATAATTTTTTTTTTTTTTGTTCCGGGCGATTAGACGTTTAGACGCCGAGCCGCGGTGCGCCGTATCGAAATTAACGCGCTGCACAATAATATGATTACAGATAAAACGCAGAATAAATAACATTGATTGTTACGCATATACATACAAACATAGATATAAAACCGTATGTAAAACAATTAGGTATTGTAGGGCATTTTTTAAAATTTTTTTTAAGGAGGTTTTCCGCGTCCCGATTGAAAACGCAGCAAAGTCCGTTGGACGCCCTGCAGTAAAGAGTGAGATTTTCCTTATTGCGTGTCCGCTGGTGAGTATAAACGGAGTATGCGTTTGAATCGGCAGAATTTATTACAAACAAATTTCATGTTTTATTATATTCAAAATACTCTCACTGTGAATGGGTATCTAGGGAAAGTCCAAAAGCCAAGGGGAACATTCGATCTATCGGCTCACGAAGCATTTTACCGCGATTACTAATATGCTAACATCACGGACTAGGATATTATAGTATATGGGAGTAGAATAGCCTGTACGTACGTTTCCGTTTCAAAAACGGACTCGTCCCGTCGACGGTTTTATTATCTGACGTCTGAAATTAATCACAATTCTGTATCATCACGTGAAACATGACATAAACGAATATTTCATGGTGTATTCGATCGATACAATTTGCCGTCTTAGATAGTGTATGACGGTTGCCGATTGTACGTCTCTCGTGGTTTTCGGCTGTCATACAATATCTAGACTTAAATACAACTGTGTCCCGTGTAGATAAAACAAAATGTATTAAATTATATCGGGTACGAAACAAATCGACCATTGTTATAAACGCTTAGTTACTATTAGAGCACAATAATTAATTATTACATCGTGTGTTTCAGATGTACCGACGGCTTCATGGGACAGAGATGCGAGTTCAAAAATTTAGACGGATCGTATACGAGTAAGTACCTATACCGATAAACGTAATATATACACTGTGTACAATCTCGCCGGTGTGCATAACACCGTGATTTCTATATTTTAAGGTTAGGTTGGTTGGGCGGACGGTGGCGTATTTACATAATGGCCCTGTTCCCGAGTTCGGCCCGAGTCGAAACGCAATAGCCTGTAGTTGGTTTTAAGAGTTTCTGCACGACAGTCGGCGTCCTAAACGTCGTAAACCTATATATTGCTTGTACTACCCTGCAGTCGATGAAAATCCACCGTGGGTTTGGATAAAGTAGAGGAGAAACGGAAAAAAAACTTACCTGTTGGTGCGAACCTGATAAACGTTATTGGAAATCTATATTATAGTGTCCTAATATAAGTGACGTGAACTAAAAACCTATGGGTTACAGCTCGGTCCGAACTCGGATCCGAAGGGGGGGGGGTCTGTAAACACGCTGGTCGGTGATTATTGTCGCATAATGCGTACGGGGACCTCCCTCGAAATAATTATATAACATATACACTATTTGGCGGCGGAGGTGGCGATAAAAATCTGTGCGTGTACGAGTAAATCACAACAGGCGCGCGCGAACCGTTCCGACTTACATTATTTTATTATTCGTCGTCGTTATCATTATTATTGTTATACGACTGCAATTTGGGCGCCGTCCAAGAAAGAAAAAAAGAAAGAAAAAACGCCGGACGAGTCTTACTGAGAACCGTGGCGCGCGTACGCGGTTCCTGTATTCAGTCTCGTAGTAGCCATGCTATTTCGAAATTGTAAAAAAAAAAAAAAAAACACAAAAATCTGCCGCGGCGCACCGGCAGCCACAGTCGTCGGCGGTAACTTTCGACAAAATCGTTTGATTACTGTATCGTATAGTACAGTAGTATATTAGGTATACATACTGCTGCTGTGCGTCCGTTCTCCTATTACTTAACCTACCAGACGCCGTTACAGAAAACGAGAAAAAAAAAAAAACCACAAAAATCTGCCGCGGCGCACCGGCAGCCACAGTGAAGCCGGTGGTGTACACGGATAATTTATGTACAGGGTGATTGTCGTAACGTAAGACGGACTGCGCTCGTTGTCGCGGAAACTGTGAAATCTTTTCGAACGTTCGAGAAACGAGCGGCTCTAAAACGTAATATTACCGTTATTTTTTTATCACCTTCGTTTCTTTTATGCCGCTACATATTATTACGCGCAGATAGCGACTTTAAATTTCGGCGCGGGGAGCAGTGCTGTGGCGCACCGTTCGCGTGTAGAGCCGCGGTCAACGCGCGTGACATTTGTACGGTGCGCCGCTAACCGCGAAAGCGGAATGTCTCGTCGGCGGACACCGAAAAGGATTCGTATTTTTCAAATGCGGCGTGTCGCTGTTATACGCGAGCGATCAGCGGATTTCGCGGCCCCGAAACGTAAAGACGACGTTTAGAAGCCGCTCGTAGAAACGCGTACGCCGAAAAACACAGCGCCTGAAAAAATCTAAAGGTTTCCGAGACGACGTGTCGCGTCTTGTGGCCACCTCGTACGTCCTGTATATTCCGCCGCCCCCTCCCCCCCCCTCGCGTACGAGACACCCGACTAGACGGACGGTCTCCGTCCGACCGCGTCGCCGTCATCGTATATACCGGGCATACCGGGTCGTCGCCAATACAATATCATAATAATAATATGTCGCACACGCACGCAAGATTACGATATGACGAAACGCTTCTCCGAGTGTGTGTGCACGTATACGATATCCGAGTGAGCGAGCGGAGCGGCGAGAGAGAGAGAGAGAGAGAGAGAGAGAGAGAGAGAGAGAGAGAGAGAGAGAGCTATTTAGAGTAGACGCGTCTTGACCGGACCGGAGAACACGGCCGTGCGCACAAAACATGAATGGGCCGCATAAAAAAAAAAAAATAATATATAGGTATACACACACACACACACACACGCGTGTACACACACGCACACACCATTCGGGTTTAATAACAATTTTATATTATATCGCGCGCGCGCTCGTGTATGTGTAATGAAAACGTACGCGCGCTCGTATTATATAGAAAAAAAAAAAACAGGTGTAGGGGGAGGCGAAACGGTGAAACGAGACCGCATACCAAACCCGCGGCCCGTCCGGCATACTAATGATTTACTATGATAATGATAATAATAATATTATATAGGTATGCGCCATCGTCTGCCGTCGCCGTCGACGAGCGTTATTAAAATAATAATAATGATAAAAAAAAAAAAAAATAGTAAAAAAAAGTGTGTATATAATACGACATTATAATATTATAGGATTTTTTTTTAAGTATAAACGTTTTCATTACGTTGTATGGGGCTGTGATTTTGATAACGCACCAGTGCACCGCTATATATATGTATACATTTAAAAAAAAAAAAAAACCATTTAAAATCCTCCGACGCCCCGAGAAGAAAAAACACATTTAAAATTCCTTATACCCCCCTACTTCTATATCCTTTCGAAAAAACTCCTATAAGACTTTCTGTCGCCAAATAACCACGTCGGTTAAAAGCAGAGGAGGAGGAAATGCAGAGGTCACCTGCAGAGTATCCAGGGGCGGATCCGCCGGTAGGCGCTATATACGATTCCCTTGGGCCGGATTTTGACCTTTTTTTTTCCTAGTAAGAAATTATACAATATTATTTTCATTTTTATGTCCGATGATAATGCGATAAATGTGTAAAATAACAAAATTAATAGAAGGATGAGTTACCACACTATAGTCCGGTTGGAAGACTGCTGGTCAAAATGAACACCATGTAGCGCACAATGCGAACTTCGGTATAAGTTATACCGAATAATCGTACAGCACCTTCTATGGAATAATCATAGATCCGCTCCCGGTTACATCTCGAAGCAGAAAAGTTTTGTGTCGGGGCGTTAATTATATTATGCACTAGAATCGTAATACAAATTTACTGCATTATGTATTATGACATTTTTGTTGGCAACAGTGAACTATAAATCGTGCCTGGTTCCTTATCATCTTTCTGACAACATGGCTCTCCGAATGAATGAATAATTTTGAAACACTCGTCTAAACCATTTTGTTGTAAAGTACCTATGCTAAGAATAAGTAAACGGGGATTCTTAAAAATACCATAAAAAAAAACAACCAAAATAAAAGTTTCGAAACCGCCGAGTTCATCATATTAACAAACATATTAGTTCATCATAAGTCCGTACGTTTATTCTAAGTAAGCTATTATGTGTCTTACAAAAACCCGAAAAATGGCTTTGTGCTACACATTCTTATAGGTTTATAGTGTATGTACTCGTTGGCTTTTTTTTTTACTAATCATCGTTTCGTTATTTTTCTTTTACAGCCGCCCGACGACAAGTGATGCTGGAATCGGCTAGTATAGCTTCGGGGGTCACCGTCGCCGTGCTGTTGGTGTTCATAATTTGCACCACGGTTTACATCAGGTCGAAGAGAGCGAACAAATCGAACACGACCGACATTTCGTAAGTTTATAAATAGATAGCGTTTTTTTTTTTTTTTTTTTTTTTTTTACGGCTATTGAAAAACGTGTGTATATATACTTATCCACATGATTTGTTTTGTTTTCCTCCGCAGAATGGTGGACGGTAATTGGACGGAAGCGGAAAGGCGGCCGTTCTCGTTTCGTCCGAAAATGCACACGATCGTCACAATTATTCCTTTAAAAACTGTAATCACAGTGAGTACTCGTCGTACATCATATTAAGGGAATTACTTCAATATCGGTTGTTTTATCTATCAAAACTAACGACAATACACTATATTATTGTCAATACAAAAAAAAAAAAAACCACGACTATTTCGTTCAGAATCCGTTTCTTTCCCTGCAACGATTTAGCGTTGCGTATTTTGCAGTAGGTAACTACACCGAATCACCCCGTATATCCCGTATATCTTTCCGATTACGCATCTGCTACAATGACCTACTCGTGAACGGCGTATCGACGTTTCGTTTCATACACATTTCGAAGCGCGTTTTTTTTTTTGGGTAATTAAACCCCCCCCCCTTCAAAAAAAATCAGGAAACGCTAATTATTATATTTTACTCGATGTGGCCGACACACGACCGCCGTGTCCAAATATGGCGCTGGCGGGTATGCTAAACAGCGGATATTATTTTTATTGTTATACGAATATTAAAAAAGAGGAGAGTCGGACGCGAATTCGATCTGTTTGTTATATTGTTTTTTACGATCTTTATTATAATTAATTTTTTTTTTCGATATATGGCGTCGGCGGTGTAAAAAAAATCTATTTTTCCTCTCTGTCTCTTTCGTTGAACTTCGGGAGCGAAAGAAAACGCGGTCGCGTGCTTACACTGTCGCCGCTTATATTTTATTGAGTTTTAACTCGCATATTATTATCTTATTATTCATGTTAACTACTTTTATTTACACTTATCAAACCTACTCATTGTACGAAAAAAAATAAAAAAATGTAAATCAGAAAAAGATTGTAGATTTATTTCAATAAAAATAAATGAAAAAAAAAAAAATTGCAAACTATACTATAATTATCCGTGCGAGCAGAATTTTAGGGCTTTTGCCTACACAAACCTCGGGCGAAATCGTTTTTACGATTGCGGCCAAGGTACGACGATCGGTATCGCGACGGATTTCGGTTGTAATGTGCGCATTTTTACGCCGATCGAAATTTCACCGAAAGAAAACTGTCGGCCGACCGTGATTTTTATCAGCGGGTTTTTGTACTAGTTATCGGCGCACCGAACGCCGCGGTTGAAGCACTAGATCGCTAACTATCGTGTATTATGTTACTCGCGTGGGCGTACCGTTTTCCGCCATCTTTGTTACCAAAGAAAGACGTGGCGTTAGAGAGTGAGCGAATCGCCACTGTTATCGCCGTGATTCCCACGTAGTTCCGCAATATTGTTCCCGGCGGTTTCAACTCTTGCGTATACGAACCGATAAAACCTGCGCTACCGAACACGGGGCCGTGACACCTGCGTATCATAAAGTGACCGACATACCCACGTAACCGGCCATCTGTACGTCTATCCGTTTATTATAATATATCTATGGCTCCAACCGGAATTTCGACGAATTCGAATTGGTCGAACGAATTTTATTAGAGAAAAAAAAATTCGAAATTTTCGTGTATCATATGAATATTTCGATATTCCGAGTAGCTATACAAATTAATAACGTATTCATATTGTATGGTTATAATGTTATTATCTAATATCAGTGGTTGGTTGCTCCCCCCCCCACTTCTTCCATTGTCGTTTCGTCATTTTTTTCTCAACCGAAATTTGTTGTCGAAGTTGTCTTGGCATCAATTTTGCCATGTCTGAACGAACATTTTACGAAATACCTATGCGCGTAAAATGTCGAATAGCGGGGTGGAGAGAGGGTTAGGAAAATTCGATCAGTAGCGTGCTCGAAAATCGTCGGGTGCGCAGGGGGGTCACGGACAATTTTTTCAAACGAAAACGCCGAAATTCTCGTAGAATTTCCCGTACCGCCGAGATAATAAACTGCCAAAAAGGATGTAAAGAGGCAGGATTAGAGAGTGACCCCCGAAATTCGCCCACGCCCCCTTTCAAAGCTAGGATATAACAACAAGACCAACGATTTATACATCACTTATTAATGTAGAGCTGGGAACTTATTGCTTTTAAAATCCACAAAAAACCACTTAAAAACGTCAAAAAAGCTCTGAAAATAGCATTTGAAAAACATTTAATGAAGCGAAAAAACTGTAGAAGGATGTTCTGTAGAAGGAAATGTTCCCTCTCATTACCTTATTTAGTACAATTTTCTAACACTACAAAATTAAAGTTGACCCAATGTTAATTTTTTTGAAATACGCACGAGTTGGTTCTCAATTACCAAATTGGTTCCCGGGTCGTCTACATTATGATAATAACACTATTACGTTAAATTTACATTATCTCTTTTTAGTATAATTTTGCCCTGATTATTATCGCATATTCAATTGACCACAATATCCCTGCCATTTTATTCAAACCAATTTTATTAATATCTAACAATAACTTCCGTCATTCTTGCCTATCATGATACTATGGTATTATCATAACAAATGAAAGATAACAAAAGTAAACAAATAGATTCGTAGTGTAACCGTTATGAATACCTCGGTGCTATATAAGTAGACAGTAACTAACACAGGCTGTTATCGTATTATGTTTGTTATGTCTCAACATTCATTTTAATACTAATACCGCGAATTAATTGTGACTGGTGTATTTAAAATTGTTCAATTTCACAGTAATAAACACAGAGTTAAGGGTATCTTAATGGTATTGAAAATCCCTGAATGATGTCTTCATCATATCTCTTTTCTAGCTTTTCTCTTTTATGTTTGGTTTTTTGTTTTTGTTTTAAAATATTAAATTCACTAACAAATTTATGTATAAATTTCGAGTCCATATAATCGACATAAATGACATAATGTGATCTTTAGACTAAAATACATCGCGTTTAAGAAGTCATATATAAATTTATAATATCATTTTATTTGAACGTATAAACAAAAAACTTAGTATACAATTGTTAACAATAAAAAAAAAATTGGTTTTCCGGAAAACAAGAGAAATTATAAGTACAGAGTGTTTCATCTAAACGGGCACACTCATTATTTCGGAAGGTATTAACCATCTTCAGAATTTGCTTGATAGACCACTTAAGAAACAAACGGCTCTCCAATTTGAAATCCATGTTATTTTTTGACACCTCTATTTTTGGGGATAAAACCATTACCTACTTTAGACTTTCAAATAGCACCTATATTATTGATCCAAATATTTTTATATAGGCCACTATCCGAAAATTAAAAGTAAATAGTGGCTTTACCCTCAAGAATAAAGGTGACGAAAAATAACATA